TGGTGTCACTGCAAAAGAATAAAATGAAGTGTCTTCCCCAGATAGATCTGTACTTGTGGCCTCACATGAAATAATTGTCTTTTTAATACTACACCCTTTCTTCCTAGGATGGTTAGACCTCTGCTTAGGCAGAAAACACTTAAATGTAATGTAAATTCAGCATCTGTGACTGAATCTTCAGGAGGCTCGTGCAGTTTGTTCTGAATCTTTACTATCCCACAGCCAACTTCAGTGCGGTACATTTGGAGGGAAATATTCTCATTGCTGATCTTGAGAAGGGCGACCCATATTAATGAGGTCCGAGAAAGCCACGCCATGAGGATGAGCACAGAAGACTTCAAGGGAAGCCTCCTGTGTAGTTTCCTTTACAGACAGGTGCCATTGGAATGGGAACTATGTCACTATTTTTTTTTTTTTTTTTGCATTCAACTTCAGATAGAATGGGAAGGAGAGAGGAAGGAAGCGCGAGAGAGAAACATCGATGTGAAAGAGACACATCGAGTGGCTGCCACCCACAGGACCCCAACCGGGGCCGGGGACAGACTACAACCGAGGTACGTGCTCTTAGTGGGAACCGAACCCGGGACTCTCTGGTCCGCAGTCCGATGCTCTAACCACTAAGCCAAACCGGCCAGGGCACATGTACATCTTTTTATCCTCAAAATAATCCTACACTTAGACACGTCTCCACTTGAGAACCGAGTGAAGAGAGACTCAGGGATTTGGAATAACTTGCTCGGGTGGTAATCCATACAGCTGGGAAGTGAGTACGCTGGGATTTCAGTCAAGGGCGGCCCGACACCGCGGCCAGGTGCTCCTTGTTCTGCCTGCACAAACCTAGGGCTGCCTTGAAAGACAGAAGACAAATACGGCTTCCGGGGGCTCAGGGAAAAGAGAAGAAATATGCATCGTAATTAATGATCTGTCAGATAGTCTTTATAACAAAAAGTTATCTTATCTCATTTCCTTTACAATATTTCAGCACAAATAACTATGTGTGTGTATACATATATATGAAAGTATGGGTGTGTATATATACATAAATCTCTAAGACCTATATGCACACACACACACACACACACACACACACAGGCACTCCAGGGTTAAAATAACATTTCAGAGCCAAATCACGCATCTACACTTCAAAAGTTACTACAAACACATTTCAACTATTGCTAACTCCGTTTGCACTAAAAAAAAATATTAATTGGCATTGAGAGGTGTAAAAAAATATATATCACATTTTTTTGAGATGTAAAAAAAATATATATATCACACGTTAAAAGAGTAGTGGCCAAGACATCAATTAGTTTAAAATGTGAAAGACAGACCTGTTGTACACAGAATCCAAATTATCAAGGGCCAGCTGTGTTTCAGATTTAAATTTTTTTGTGCATTAGAGAACTATTATGAATGTATCTACATGACATATTACCCCTAAGTAGAATGTGCTGCAGCAAACACATTAATATTTCTGCACTTAGGAACAAGACCATTCACGCGAAACAGGATAAATAAAGACTATAATAAATAGTCTGTCAAGTCAAAGCTCTACGATATCTCAGCATATTGCATTTGGGCACTGCAGATAAGAGACTGTGGACCTGTAGCTGTGAATGGCCAAATTACTGAGGCCACTTGCAATTCATAGAAAACATTTCCTTTGAAAGCTGATATTAAACTTCACACATTATCCCACAATAACAATATTCCATTGGCAAGTATGACGACCCTTCACCCCTCCAGCACTTGGCTGCCAATAATATATATTCAGAATACAGCTGCAATCTAATGAACAAAATGAACTGACCAACAAAATAGGTCCTGAGGCATGGAAGCATGGAACAGACTCACGGTTCTCAGATGGGGGGGGGGGGGATTATCCAAAGAACTTATATACTTACATGCATAGCCCATGGACACAGAAAATAGTGTGGTGAAGGCCTGGGCTGGGTGGAGGTGGATGGGGGGGGGGATGGAGGACATCTATAATGCTGTCAGGAATATATATATATTCAATCAACAACAAAAAGAATACAGGCTGGGAGGCAGGAGGTGAGCCATGCCTCTTGGCAGCCATTATAACGGCTGCACACTAGAGAGTGTCACATTACTCATAAGAGAGGCTCTTTATCTTTAATCAGATCTGGCTTTTAGACTCAACACAGGTAAGAACCAGTAGTGGAATCACAGACAGATCCAAGAGGTGAGTACACAGAGCAGTCACCAGCAGCAGCTGACATTCTGATAGCAAAGAGGAAAAACAACCCTATTTGTAAAGCAGATAAGAGCCGTGCTGCGGAGTCGGAAAGGCTTGGGTTCCAATCCCCGCTCTGCCCAGGTGAGCTGGGGCGTCGTGGGTATTCCTTAGCTTCTCTCTGCTTTGTTTTTATTCACGGCCACGGTGTTGATGAAAGTGCTGCCTGCCTCCTACTGTTGGGTGAGGAGTAAATGAAGTAATGCACGTGAAGAGTTTAGCACAGTGCCTGACAACAAAATGTACACACTAAAAATAAAGCACAAAATCTCACAAGGCACAGCAGCCTGAACTAATTGACTACCAATTCTTCAGAACTCAGAACATGATCATAATTTACTATAGAAAAATACCATCTTAGCTATGCAGTGTGATTTTAAACATGTCATCGAAACTTCTCTGTGCCTGAGAGCATCCGATTAGACCACGCATTCTTCACGGCGTGATAAGTGGTTCTTTGGCAGGGCAAGGTGCAGGAGGGGAGTGGAAGACAATGGATTCTTTCCATGTACAAAATGCAAGTGTAAAGTACAGAAACAGACACATAGGATACCCATGATATTAAAATTTCATGCAGGCAGGTATCTCAAAAGGCTTCTCAGGGGGCTAATAATATATATAAAATACATATAAGGTTGAGAAATACTGGCTTAAATGAATAGTAAGGTTACACACAGCTCTTAACGTTCCTTATTTCTATCTTTACAATAATGCCAAGAATTCCAAAAAATGTTTAACAGATGCTCACATACTTTGTTTAAGAAGGCAAGGAAAGATTTGTATCTTTTAGAAAGATCTCCAATTAAGAATAGTTAAAAATTGTAAACGTCACTGTGTTTAAAAGAGAAAATCCACTTGAAACAAATAAACCCCAACTGTCTCTCATGAAGGGACCCCGCGAGCCACAGTTCGTGGGGTTTCCCTGCCTTGTAGATCACAGCATACCCAATCATGTCTAGATACTGATACATTTAATTCTTCCCCCCACACGAGAAAGACCAGAATAAGGACGACCACTTGTAACGGCCATGGAATTGGAATGCTGTGGCTGTCTCAGCTACGACAAATGAAGGATCATCTGGGAATAGAATTCATTTTTAATTACCTCTTCCATCTAATCTAACCACTGCTGTAGTCTGTCATAAAACATTTACAAAGTGAAAGCAAAAAAAGGAACTGGGGGTGCTAAATAAAGCAGGCCACACATTTCTACAAGGCTGATTTTTTGGGTATTGTTTACAACAAAAACAAAGTCATAATTTGTACATGAATTTTTGGAAACATTTAAAGCATAATTAAGGACCACCTCTCAGTGTTAAAGCTGTTTGTGTTTTTTTAAACTGAGATATAATTGACACACAACTTTGTATTCGTTTTAGGTATACAGCATAATAATTTGATATGTGTCTATACTGCAAAATGATTAGCACAGTAAGTCTAGTTAACTTCCATCACCACAGATAGTTTTTTCTTGTGACAAGAACTTTTAAGATCTACCTTCTCAGCAACTTTCAAATGTACAATACAGTATTGTTAACTATAGTCGTCATGCTGTATTTTACATTTATTTTACAACTGTAAGTTTGTACCTTAAATCTGTTTTTAATTTACCTTCTTCCCTGCCTTAGTTTTGGGATCCTTATGATACCCAAATACCTTGTTAGAACAAAAGAAAATGGTTGTAATAAAGGCTTAAAAGATCAGTGTTATAGCTATGTTCTGCTTTAACCACTTACGAAGTTTTATATTTGCTACCCCAGTCTTAATTCCCCCAGAACCCTAGGTTTTTCCTGCTCACATACTGCCCTCATAACTCTCTCTGAGTTTTCCAAAATGCCACTTTAGAAATTCTAACAAAAAATGGCATTCTAAAAATGTACAAAATGCCTCCACATCAAATTGTTATTAAATGCTTGGCCATACTTTATTACCAGTAATATGTATCATAAAGTGTTCTACTATTATCCATTTTATTCACTGAAAGAGAAATGTGTCGTGACACCTTTGATAGCTTCCAGGCAGATATATTTGCATAAGGAAAGATGTGTGTGAAACCCAGTTCCCTTAGACACAGGCGTGCCCCGCACGGTGCAGGAGGGAACCACAGTTGTACTGATGGCGAGTATAAATACGCCATCTTAAAAAGATGCTAACCACTGTGTACAGGTCTTTAGATCCTAGGTGTTCAAGTGACAGAAAAATCTCTCTTATAAACCTATATGCTATTTTAGACTGTTCCAAATATACTGACTACACAGAATAATGGAAAGAAGAAAATAAACTAGTTAAGCCCTGAATACATACAGCATATTTCAGGAGTCTAGTGTTGGACCCATGTGTTCTCAGACTCAACCAAGGAAGATGCGGCCAAACGGCACACTGTTTTAATTACCATTAGGGATAATGTCACCCTAATGCAGCTGTGAATACCTGAGTGTTCCTTACCATCACGGTCCTACAAGATTTACTCTAGGTAACATCAAGAGGTAAAAGAAAGTCGGAACACACCAGTGATCACTGGAGAGGTTTAGACTTAGTCAACAAAATTGCCATTGTAGAAATTCAAGTAGACACTGAATAAATAAGGATGATAATACCCACTATAGTATCAAGAAAGAAAAAATTTCATAACAACATGTATTTCCCATAGTCACATATTTTGGCATGTTTCCATGAGAAACCCAAAGCAATCACATTCTCAACCTGACAACACAACTTTACCTGCCAGGGCCTTAGTGTTTACCTTTGTTTGAGGTTCATCCATGATGTTTTTAAATACTCGGTGGTTTCCTTCACGTTCCTTGTGTCGTCACTACCATAGTCCTCCAGCAGCTTCTGCAGGACGTTGTCAAATGCCATTACGATGCCATCCCCAGGACCCAGCTCCTGAAGCAGTATCTAAGGTGAAATTCCAGGTGTTATTGTTAGACTTGCTCACTCGTATGACCAAACTAGTATGACCAAAACATTGGTCCTCCCTATTGGTTTTAACGTGTTTTAGACATAGATGTCAAAATAAGAAAACAAACTATTAGATCAACTCTTGCATGTAAGTTGAAACCAAAATAATTATAGAAGTGGAAAGAAAAACGTCTAAGAAAGTGATCAGGTATGGAGTAGATGACATTAAACAAATGATGATCTCTTCTTGTTTTAGATATTGTATTTCCTGAAAGAATTTCTTTTTCCATCCCTTCTGCTACACATCTGATCCTTACAGGCCCATGCAATATATAGGAATGGATTTACTGTAGAGATCCCCTATATTTGCTTAGAGACGTGGAAAGGGCTGACAATAGGAAGTCATCTGTCTCTTGTCCCTCGATCACTGTGTGTTTACAATGAACTGCTTGAGTGGAACAAGCAGCCAAGCAAGGTTCCCTGAGAGCTGCTTGAAGATTCAGCTAAACTGAGGCCAAGTATATCCAGGGGCGTCAGTTCCCTGAAACACTTTTTCAATCTCTGAGAGTCCCTGCATCAAGAGACTCCCCATGAAATCTAAAGGACAAATGAAAGTTCCTATGGTGATTTTTGGTAGCAATTTACAGAAAAACCCACCCTAAAATTTCAAAGAAAATAACCATACTGCTGATTAGTAAAGAATATTCTGAATATGATTATTGAAGCGCTGATGTCACTTTGAATTGCATTCCTTCAGTGAGGTGTCAGGGCTTTGCTGATATTACCGATTCATTGGTGAAAACAATCAGCAGATATCATAAACACAGAGAACAGCCCCGGAAATCAGACACCCGGCCACTTGCTTTGCATACTGTAACCACGGAGCGTCCATCTGTGGGGAAACATACTTTCATGTTTTATATTTTGATTCCCACATAGTCATTTTATATTCTTCACAAATGTATACTCTCATCTTAGGCTATCTGAAGGGAAAATAAACGTTATGCTAAAACATAACCTGACAACCATAACCTCCAATTCAAGATTGCAGAGAGATTTTAAAATAGCACCATAAATGTTTAAAATCAACAACTCTATAACCAAACTGATCACAGATGGTACCTGCTCTGATGACACTGATAAATCAGTTTGGTAACGAAGGTATTTGGTTACAAAAGAAACAAAACTTACCTATTTCCTGACTTGTTCCCTACCGTTGCCCTCAAATGAAAGACTCAAGAAATTTCATAAATAGAAATAACCTTCAGAGTAGACATGAAGACAACAAAAGAAGGATTCTTGGTATCCTGAAAATGTGCTCTTTCTAGCTGCTGGTTTGTGGTCGTGTTCCATTTGCAATAAGTCAATGAGCTATAAATCTAAGATGTATGTACATTTCTATTTGTTATGCCTCCAGAAATTTTTCAGACTCCTTCCTGGTCAAATTTTTTATATGCATTTCAACGCATATTCTAAGAACTTGGGACAACATCATGAAAAGAGTCCTAAAAACTACAGTTAACAGAACAAAAAAGCACATCCAACAAATCAATACCACCAAAAAATATCTACTGAGACTTACTTGATTATCAGAAATCTGTTTGATAAGTGGATCCCTCCGGGCCTGCTGAAGAATGTAGAGCCGGGCCTCATATTTCCGCATGAGTTCTTCGGTCTCCTCCCTGTGGTCGTCCCACTGCAGACTGTCAATCACCATGTCCTCCAGCTGCCGCCGCCGCAGCTCCACGCCGTGCTGGGTGCTGTCCCACTGGATCCTGACCTTCTCCACTGGAGGGAGCATAGACAGAATCCCAGACAGTGACTCTCAGGAAGGGAAACATACCTGACACCACAGCCATTACAGGCACGGCTATCACCGGAAAAGAGCAAGGAGGCAAGTTGATACACGCATTTTGAAGGCATTTCCATGTCTGTCACACTACGTGATTGATATATTTCTGAAACTATCCTGGAGGAAAAACCCTTAAACTCTGTTTTAAATGCACGAAGATACCTCACAATAAAAAGTATTTAGTATTTTATTTTGATAAAGCAAAAAAAAAATTATAAGAAAAATCATTTGCTATCTTATTTTATATTTACGGGACCTGGTTTGAGGAAGTAGACGTCAACGGCACATTGTGACAGACCGCAAGGCACACACAGCTCCTGGTCATCCTCACAGGAGATGCTCAGAGACAGTCCTGATTGTAAAACCCCTGAAGGATGCGTTCACATTTGTTTGACTGTAGCATTAAATCTCTCTAAAAGTAAGTCTTTTTCTATGTTGAAGTTTATGAGAAACACTAAGAGTGAAGTAGATTCAAGTTCTATGTACCCAGAAGCTCTTAATCATTTAAAAAAAAAAAAATACTGGTTCTCTTCTGCTCTCTTTTTTGTTACTTTCTATTTCTCTTTCTTTCATTCTCTATCTCTACCTATTTCTCTCCTCTCTCTCCTTCCCTTCTTCGTCCTTCTCCTTTTTAACATGAAGTTCAAAAAAGAGAGATGTAGCCCTGGCCAGTTTGGCTCAGCGGTTAGAGCGTCGGCCTGCGGTCCGGAGAGACCCGGGTTCGGTTCCCGCTAAGGGCACGTACCTCGGTTGCAGTTTGTCCCCGGCCCTGGTTGGTCGTGCAGGTGGCAGCCACTCGATGTGTCCCTTCACGTCGATGTTTCTCTCTCTCTCTCCCTCCCACTCTATCTGTACAAAAAATGGAAAAATATCCTCGGGTGAGGATTAAAAAAAAAAAAAAAAAGAGAGATGTAAAGAAACAAACTTCTGATTAATTACTTCAAGGGAAGTTCAAGGTCTTGACCTGAAGTACCAGTAAGCACTGGGTTTGAATATCTTAAACAACCCATTGATAATTAATAGGTAGAAAGTTAAAAACAAACTTCTAGAAGCTATTTTGAAAGCCAGGCCAAGAGGAACTTAACTACAATAGAAATTTTTCCTGGTAAGATTCTTGGGATAATACAGTTCTATAGTAAACCAGTAAAGCTATCAATTTATCATTGTTCAGAAAGCTGCAAATGGTTCTTACGTATAATAATTCTAAAAAACTGTTTCAGTGAGATTATTTATTCTATACTGTCTGTATTAAAGTTTAAATAAATTGCTTATAACTTTAACTTGAGAGAACAAATCTATCATAATGTTCTACTTGTCAGTTAAAAAGTTACATAGAGTAGTCATACCAATTCTGCTACTAAGAGAATCCTGAAATATTGAACAAATAAAACTAAAGACATCAGTGACAGCAAATATCACAGGTTTATCATAAAAATACGTAAATCATCCTATTATTTTGGAAATGAGCTGAAAGCAGCTTATTATTGGTAATGCAGGCCAGTGGAGGGTGGTTTTTCATGTAATAGCGACAAAGACTATGCAGTGTCTACACAAAAAGGGAGAGAAAAAGAGGAGGAGTTAAATTGAAAAGAGAAGATATTTGGGAGATGGAAAGTCTTACAAAAAAACCTTAAAATAGTCCGGCTGGTGTGGCTCAGCGGTTGAGCCTTGACTCATGCACCAAGAGGTCACTGGTTCAATACCCAGTCAGGACACATGCCCAGGTTGTGGGCCCGATCCCCAGTGGAGGGCATGCAGGAGGCGGCCAATTGATGTTCTCTCTCATCGATGTTTCTCTCTCTCTCCCCCTCCCTCTCACTTTCTCTCTCTCTAAAATCAATAAAGGGAAAAAAATGGAAAACAAACAAAACAACTTAAAATAAACTTTGGACAAATATAGAGGTGGTGGTAAAAAAACATAAGATGTAAGACGGTAGGAAAAGCAACCCGGAGATGGGTTTGCAGACAGCGCGTGTCAGGAAAGCAGAGCTCCCCGCGAGGTGGGAATGGATCCCCCCAGAGCTCCACCACAGGCACAGCTCCCGTCAATCAACAACAGGAAGGCGGAAGGAGGAAAGCAGCCAGATGGGTAAAACACCAACGCCGTGAGACGCTAGAAGCCCTTTGCTAACTCATCTGTTTAACAACCTTGCTGCCAAGCTTATTTTGAAATCGAACCACACTTGTTACTGGAGAAATAGTTGAGTTTCTCCTATTGGGAAATATTAAACAAGGTGATAAAATACATTCCAGTTTATACTCCACCACCAATTATGTTCATAACTTGTATCGGGCACGGGGAGTCCCCAAAAAGGTGAATATTCACAATCTGTTGAGGGGAAAAGAAATTTAAGTGACTGACTGTGAGATCCACAGGAAGTTATGGGGGAAAAGATCACAGTGGGAACTAAAGATAGAAAACACCAGGGACCAGAAGAGGGCGGGACAGACTTGACAAAGGGGGTGACTTTTTATCAGCCTAGTAGAATTTCACCTGAGGAGAAAAGGCCCAGAGAAAAAAACACAATGCAAATAAAGGTAAGGAGAACAAGAAACCTCAGGATGCTTTAAAGAACAAATACAGCACAGAACACCCACATATAGAGCCGGGAGCTGTAGCAGAAGAGGATAAAGACAGACTGTGACCGTCCCTAGAAGTCCCTGAAGTGTGTTTTAATTTCAAAATACATGTGGCAGCATCAAGGTTATTATAGCAGATGAGTTAGCAGGACACTCTGTGTCTCCCAACGTGGGGCTCTTTCTCCTGAATTTGCCAGTTTCTCTCTCCCTCCCGTTACTAATTATGAGATTGCTTGTGTGGATCCGTTCTCAGGAACTTAGACTTTGTCTTATATGACATACAGAGGCTGTGAAGCCAGAAATTAAACTCAAAACAAAAATTGTGGCTGTGGTTGTTTTGTTTGTTTTTTGTTTTATTTTGTTTTTATTAAAGTATTCCCAAATTACTGCCAGGCACAGAGGTATATAGTATCTGTACGATGAATATTTTTGGAATGAATTTTGAGAAGATGAGTTCAAAGGCATGCTATGATCTGGTTTCATTAAATGAATTATTAATAGAAGAATGGATTTGCATTCCTATGGGTTTCTCTAATTTTTGTTTACTTGGTTCCTTCAAAAGGAATACTAACTTGAAAGCAAATAATCCATTGAATCAGAAATTACTTACAAGTAATGGTATTAATACTTTAAGGAATTCAAAAGAGAATTCTGACAATGTTCACAAAAGATTACCAAAAAAACAAGGGAAAGCTGTATTTATGAATAAAGATACCAAATATCAAGTAATATTAACTTCTGGTGGAATAATCTTTGAAAATGTGTGTGCATAACTACTTTCCGTGCAAGTAGGTGATGATATATAATTTTTTTTAACTTACATTTTTCTGTGATAGCTGTTCTCACGTCTGAACTGGAAGCTTTATTTTTCAAATTCTGAGCCAGTGTGAAAACATAATCAAGCTGAGGATGACGCTGTTCCAAGTCAGCCTTGGTGATCTGTTCAAGGAGGGATTGTTAAGGTGGGTTAATAGGCTAGACGATGAGATACTAAGGAAGCAAAGCCTGTGTGCTGACACCCAGGTTGTTTTCCTCCTCTATGAACAGTGAGGCATCTGCAATGCGGCAGAGAAAGCGCAGGATTTGGAGTCAGAAGCCCCAGGTTCAAATCTCCGCTCTGCCACTTAACATCCAGGTCGCAGGCAAGGCTTTTCACCTCTCTGTGTTTTTGTTTTCACAAAAAGAAGTAATAAAAGACCTACAGCTCAGCTATATCAAGCCTGAGATTGCATGAAAAAGTCCCTTTAAAAACTAAAAAATGTTCTGAAAACATCAGCAGAGATTTCTTCAGATGGCACCTTGCATGTCGGTTCCACACCAGTATGAGTACAAAGGAACATCACCCACAGGGTGAGGGTGAGGTATTAGGTAAATGCTAATTAGAATCATGGTGGATTGAATAATTTTAGAAACAAAAACTGTTGCTCTAGAGCAGTGGTTCTCAACCTTCCTAATGCCGCAACCCTTTAATACAGCTCCTCATGTTGTATGTGGGCGCATCTGCCTGTGGGCGGACCCCCTGGAGATGGACAGAGGAGCGGTGTCTCGGTTCCTAAGACCATCGGAAATATGTGTTTTCCGGTGGTGTTAGGTGACCCCTGTAAAAGGGTCGTTCAACACCCAAAGGGGTTGCGACCCACATGCTGAGAATCACTGTTCTAGAGTCTATCTCTTAGAACTGATGAATAGGGGAGACATGTTAATATCAGAAAAATGGTGTATTTTAAGTACAGAACTAGTAAATAGCCATAAAGCCTATTTCCAACAGGTACAAATAGTGTGGCAAAGATTCTCTTCCAGCTCCGCCTCTTCATGGATTCACTAATTTTGCAGACTGCAATTACTCCCACAGTGTCAAATGTTATTTCTAAATGGATTGTTCACAACTTCCAATCCTGAGTCCCAGTCACCTTTCCGCGAAAGCTGGTCACTTCCTTCTCAACGGCCTAAGGACATCGCAACACAATATGCTCAAAACTAAACCAATCAAACCCTCATCTGCATTTCATTTCTTCTAGTCCCTGTTTCTGCTCAGGGCAACAGCATCCTCTTAGCCACCCAGAAAGGCTCTTTTCTTTGTATGGAGCATCTCTTGCACTATTTCCATTCTTCCTGCTAAAATGGAGCATTGTGATCATCAGTCTTCAGCCACAGAAAAAGGCGAGCCCTGGCCGGTTTGGCTCAGCGGTTAGAGCATCGGCCCGTGGTCCAGAGAGTCACGGGTTCGGTTCCCGCAAAGGGCACGTACCTCGGTTGCAGTTTGTCCCCGGCCCTGGTTGGGGTCCTGTGAGAGGCAGCCACTCGATGGGTCTCTCTCACATCAATGTTTCTCTCTCCACCCCCCCTCCTGCTCTATCTGAAGATTAATGCAAAAATGTCTTTGGGTGAGGATAAAAAATAAAATACAAGAAAAATGGGAAATGATGTTGGCCCATCACGTACAGACTGAACGTCCACGGGGCTGGCCCGGCCTACACGCTCTTTCGCGCGAACTTGAGCTGCCCTTGCTGTCCCACTGCCCAGCGCACTTCTGTCGCACAAATGTCGACGACACGCCCCTCAGGCTCCCCACATCATGTCCCCACATCATGTCTGTATTCACTCTGCCCCGCGTACAGGAATGTCAGTGGCTTGTCTGTAAATGTGAAAATCCCACACCGTCCGCCTTCCATCACCACGGGAGGAACCCGCTTCCTCAGCGGGTGCCCCCAGCAGGTCACCTGTACCCGCTCCGTGTCTGTTCTTACCCGGCCCTGCCAGAGACTGTTTACCTACATGCACTGGGCATGTTTGTCATCTGGGATCAATGGTAACCATCTCAAAAGATAGTTAAGGAAGTAAATGAAATAATACATGTAAATGACTTACAAGAATACCCAGCACCATTAAGCACTTAATAAAAGTTGGCAATTGCTGTTATTATTTTATGGTTCATTCCCAGTTTTTATCTAGTATATTCTTTTCAGAATCTCTATGCAACACACAGCACAGAACCTAGACCTCACTGAATAAGGAAAAAGTACTTTACAAACTCTCATTACGTGGTACATCATAGTCGGAAGATTCTCACTTCTAATGTCAGCAATTAAATAAATAAGCTCATGATGAAATATAAGTCGAAAAGGCGTTTCAGGAAATTCTCCTACCTCACACTAGCCATTAACCCTAACACTAGTTCACACTGATACTGATAGGGCTAGATTTACAGTATCAATTTTACATCTCAAGATATACACTGAGTCTACAACTCACATTGGTGAAGGTGATTTTACCAAAACAGCATAAATGAGAGAAAGACTTGACTCTCTGAGCCAGTCTGAGAAGGCTGTGTGACAGATACAGATATCTTTAAAGCTCACTCTCCCAGAGTTTAGGATAAACAAAAGCCTTTATACTGTGCACCTACTTTCATTCTGGAAACTGTCTTATTGATCTCTTCCACATCCCCGACAGTGACAATGTTGGACTTCAGCATCTGGTCGATCAATACCAGCCAGTCGGCTAGCTCTGTTATCGTTTTGTCCAGATCAGAAGGAATTGAAATTTCCGAAGTCCGAGGAGACTGAACAGGAAGATCTGACGCCGAGGATACTAGCACCACCTTTAGGACACCTGGAGGAGCTGAAATGAAAAAATGTAGCAAAGTATTACTGAATCGACAGGATATTCCAATTGTGGTGGTATGTCTGTGGGTTGATGCAAAATTTAGATTAGGTTAGAAAATGGTAAGAGTTTTTATTTTTCCCCACTGAAGTGGCAATGATATTTCCTGTGGTATCTCTGTCTTTGGGAGCTGCAAAGCCAATTAAACACACAGTCTCACAATATCCTAGGGCAGCAATAACTCAGAAGTAACTAACACCGATACCAAGAGAAAATAAAAATACATCAACTGTGAGAAAATTAGCACTGTTATTTTATTTGGTCAAGATGTTTGCCTTAATTATAAAGCGAATTTATTCCTAGTTTTCTCTTAACTTGATAACATGAGCATTAGTAAGTCTTCATCCGCATCACTGCGAATACCTATGTAATAATCCATGTATACAATTCACGGACGGCTCGCTAACTCTTTCCCTAGAGCTGGATACCTAGAAGGCACCTTACATTTTACTTTAAAGAAGAATTTGCAAGGAATGTCTTTTTTGTGTAGAGTATTTTGCGCATTTCTGATGAACACATTGGTATAGACCTGCTAAAGTAGAATGACAGGGTCAGAAAATATGAAAAAAAAAAAAAAGTATGTATTCAGTTCTTACTGGCAACTTACTTTTCCTTGAAAGTTGGAAACTGGGACCTGAAGCAGCAGTGTCCGGACTCCGAACATCCCGCACCCACACCAGCGATACCCTACCTCAGGGGACGGTCACAGCTCTCGTCACTGTGCTCATTCACTGGTTTTTTGGATCATCAGCGAGAACAAACATTTTTTTGTTTGTTAACCAAATGCAGTATAACTTAAAACTGTGTTCTCTCTCTGCTTCCTTGTCAATTTGCATGAACTCAGCTTGGTAGGGACAATGAACCCTTGCCATAGTGTTAAAAGCACTACTTCTATTTTAGGATTTTTAATGTGATTTTTTTCTTTTGAACATATAGATGCATCAAACTTGGGTGATCAAATCCATAAATCTGTACCGGGAGATTGTTTTCCCAGAACGTTTAGAGATTTTTGTCTTCTTCAAAAATTGGATAAGTAATTTTTCTCTCGATTGTTTGTGTTTGTCTTTTGTTTATGTTTTTTTTCTTATCCTCACCTGAGGACATTTTTTTGTTTTTTGTTCAGAGAGAGTGGGAGGGAGAGAGAGGAAGGGAGAGAGAGAGAAACATCAATGTGAAAGGGACACATCGAGTGGTCGCCACCCACATGACCAACCAGGGCCCCATCTTCCCCTGGTTCCAAGGATATCTAACACTTTGCTTGCATAAGATCTGCATATAATGACACACCCTCAGGACCTGTTAGCATAGGGTTATAGTTGATGTTCTGAAAAACTGCATGTTCTCAGTTTCCCCACCTGCCTCGTCCCTTCCCCTCTGCAGGCTCCTTTGAGACCCAGCTCCCACTGTAGTCCCAGGAAAGGCAAAAAGCCTCCTCTCCCGCGAGTGCCTTGCACACTCGGGGCAAATATGTCTCGGGTTTAAAGAAGACATTCCTCTCAAATCATTGAAAATAGAAAGCTCATGCCCTGGCCGGTTTGGCTCAGCAGTTAGAGCGTCGGACTGCGGTCCGGAGAGACCCGGGTTCAGTTCCCGCTAAGGGCACGTACCTCGGTTGCAGTTTGTCCCCGGCCCTGGTTGGGTTGTGCGGGTGGCAGCCACTCGATGTGTCCCTTTCACGTCGATATTTCTCTCTCTCTCCCTCCCTCCCACTCTATCTGAACAAAAAATGTCCTCAAGTGAGGATTAAAAGAGAAAACAGAGAGCTCACAACTGCATTGTGTTTTTAAGTTTAAATTTTTCTCTAATTCATATACGACGCTCATCGTCCTAATACTGTGCTGTGTTTACAGAACACTGCTAAGGAACGAGCTGCATCTTACCTGCAATCCTTGTCTGAGGAGCGGCGCTGGGCTCCTGGACGCATTCCTCCAGCGCACCGGGAGCTTCTCTGCACACCTGCAGCGTCAGGCCAAGGGGGAAGAGAAGACACTGGATAAATGAAGAGCTATGTTCTCGAGAGGAAGTGTTACTCTGCGTGCTGGCTTGGCTGCTCTGCTCCCCCTCAAGCCTAGGCTGCTGTCCACCTTCACTAGGCACCGCGGTCCTGCTTAAGCCCACCCCCCAATGGTACCGTCAAGAACAAGAACGCCGGCCGGTCCTCGCAGGCCCTGGCCCTTTGGCACGTGAATGCCCCTCCTGTAACTCGGTGAGCACTGTACTCCTGACTTTCTTCCCACCGCCGTCTGACGTTCTCAGTGTCCTTCACCCGCTCATTCTCCTCTGCCCATTGGCCAGTGCTAACATTCTACACGGTAGGTTTCTTTGGCCTTTTCCATTGACTCAGGCCTCTTCCCTGGGTCCCGGTTTCTAATGGTCTCATCCACAATACAGAGTTTCAAGATGCGGAAGACTCCCACAAATATATCTTCAGTCTGGCTCTCTCTGGCAACTGGATATTCAGACATGGCCAAATCGGAAGTCATCGAATGTCTCCCTGACAACCACTGCACAAAGTTGTCTAGTGACTAATGGATCTTTCTGGATCAGCTATCTTGATCTGGATGGTGGGTTTTACTCAAAGGAGTTACTTGACATCTGATATCCCAAGGATGTCCATCCTAGGATGTCCATTGCATCCCTCTCGACAGTGCAGCTACAGTGAGCTTTCAAAATGTCACTGGCTCTTGCTTAACAGCCTTTGCTAGCTGCCCACTGCCCTCAGGGTGACGCGCTGGTCCCAGGATGGAGCTTAAATTCCTTGTGCTGCACAGTGGGGCCTCGAGGACCTGGTCTCTGCAAGCAGCGCGCATTCTTCACCTCATACAGAGCTCCTTCCAGGACCCAAGTGCACTGTGCTCATTCTGTCTCTTCTGGGCCATTTCACTTGCCGTTGCTTCTCCCTGCAGTGTCCTTCCCCCGGTTCTTCATCTGGCCAAGTCTTATTCATCCTTTTCAAATTAGCTTGGAAATGATGTCCTCCGAAAGTCTCCCATGGTTATCCCCCAAAGCCAGGCATGTGCCCTGCTTTTAAATCCCTATGGGTCCCTCTACGTTATAATTGCTCATCTACTTGACTCATCACAATAAGCTCTTCAGGCTAGAAGGCGTGACATACTGTTTGCAGTACTCCTAGTCCTTAAAATGGTGCTCGGCAAAAATGTGAATCCAGTCAAAGCCTCGTCAGTGAGTGAATGACTGCATGAATGAATGAAATATCCCAGAGTTGTAGTTCCCAAATTGTGTTTGTTGAAATCCTCTGCACAATCAGCATTGCTTATTCTCAAACATTCATAATTCATCCAGGTGGAGTAAAACCAACATGAAGTTCTGGGATAAAGGAAGCGTTGGCTGTATCCAACACAGTGCTCCCAAGTGTCCATCACGCCCTGTTCCTCACAATAGCCATGATATCTGCTGAGCCAGACGAGTGTGTGCACTCTGAATACGCACAAGCTGAGCCTGGCACGTTTGACACGGGGCCAACGTGTCTGGGAAAGTGGGTAGGGGTGAAGGAGTGGCAGATGAGGTCAGAGAGACAGGAGAAACCAGAACACTTGGGGCACAGTGAGTCACAGTGAGTCACAGTGAGGACCTTTCCTCCGAGTGAGACGGAAAACCATCCGGGCCTTTGCTCAGAGGAGTTGCTTGACCTGAATTACGTTTTAACAAATACTTTGGCTGCTTTGTAGAGAAAAGACTGATAAAGGGCGAAGAGGGGAACAGGGATACCAAGAAAAGGCCTTTGCAGGGATCAAGAAAAGGGATGATGGTGGCTTGAAACAAGTTCGTGAAGATGGGGGTAATGAGACGCAGTCAAATCTATGAAATTTTTCAAAAAAAGTTGAAAGAATTGCACAGGGAACACTCATGTGCCACCCAACATCTACAACTGTTAAAACGTTGCTATGTTGGTTTCATCATGTCTCTAATTATGTAGCCATCCAGCACACCACACATCAAACAGATATGTATTTTGAAAGAGAAGTTGATCATGGTGACTCCAAGTTTTTTGTTTTTTTTTAATCCTCACTGGAGGATATGCTTGATTTTTAGAGCGGGGAGGGGGGGAGAAATATTGATGTGAGAGAGAACACTGACTGGTTGGTTGCCTTCTGTACTTGACTCAACCAGGGATTGAACCTGCAACCTAGGTACGTGCCCTGACTGGGAATCAAACCCCCAACCTTTCGGTATATAGGACAATGCTCCAACTAACTGAGCCTCAGTGGCCTGGGTTAGGTTTTTCTTTTTAATGTTTTTATTGATTTCATAGAGAAGAGGGAGAGGGAGAGAGAGACAGAAACATCGATCGGCTGTCTCCTGAATACCCTCTACCAGGGATGGAGCCCGCAACCAGGACATGTGCCTTGAGCGGGAACCAAACCTAAGACCTCCTGGTGTATGGGACGACGCTCAACCAACTGAGCCACATCAGCCGGGCAGGTTTATTTTTAAAATTGAGATATGGCCCAGATGATAATAAAGATATAATTACCTGAATGGGGTGGGCGAAGTATATTAACGCACAGGGGTGAGGTGGAGATCAGGAGCTGAATTTTTTGTATGTTACCTGGAGATGCCTGTTAGACATCCCAGTAGAACTGTTGAGGAGGCTGGTGGATATGCAAGTCTAGGGCATGGAGTGAGGTCTCAGCCAGAGATGCAAATGTGTTAGTCATCAGTCACAGTGATCATCAAGACGGTAACTCTCAACAGAGAGGCTAGATCAATAAAGCACCTGAGTCGTTAGATTTGCTATGACGGCTGCCATGTTAAGAGACTGAAGGGGAAGGAAATGCCTGATGGGGAGTCCATCTAAACCAGAACAGAGACATCTATTCAATGTTCTAAACAGACCGAACACTCTAAGTGGTATGTGCCAAACCAAAATAAATAGAAATCTATGATTTTATCTGCCTTTAACTGTCTTAACTGCAAAGGAAAAAAAAAGTAATGGTATGAGGAAAAGCACCGTATCTTCATCATATTTGTAGCAAGATGCCATTACATTCCACACGGAACCTTGTAAATATATGCTGAATGAATAAAATCATTAAAAATGTGCCTATATATGTGAAAAATCCAGTGGAACATCAGGAAGTTATTTTAATGTCTTCATTCTCAGAATATAATTATTGGCATTTTATTGCCTCATTCTGACATATATTCATCATCTAATGTAGTGTATAACATATAAACCCCATTGGTCAAAAAATATATGTAAAAAAAGCATTCTTTGAGAATACGTGTTTCTGTTCGTGGCAGATACAAAAAAATCATAATAATCATAAACATCAGTAAGCATGAGTAAAATGTGCCCGTATCTGGATATCCTTAAAAGAAATATATTTATATGATTCCACTTCTCTGGCAACAAAACCAATAAACATGAGAAAGGTGTCACAGTGATTCTGCACACCTTATTCCAGGTCGAATTTACAGCCCTTAAGCTTTCTGAAATCTTTTCTCTCTCGTGTAAGCTGAGACTTTGATCTGAAAGCATCTTCCGTTCGGTTCTATTCAGCCATTTGAGGTTCTCAGCGTGTGCGTCCATCTCCTGGTTTAAGTCCTAAAGGTGTCAGAAGAGAGGTTGTGATTAGAAGGTTGTCATATTAGAGAAAGTTCAAGAACTGTTTCAGCAAGTAATAGAATTCGCGTATTTTACAAACGTGGACTTTTACTTTCTTAAATAGAAAATAAAGGCATAAGAAGCCTGAACGTATGTTAACAAACTGTAACTGATATGAGAATGACCACGCCCCTGCCGTGTGCACTTGGGTGCTCGGGTGCTTTCGCCCCCACCCTGTCTCTTACCAGGGTTATATTCAATCATATCTACATTGATAACTTAACATTCTGCTCTCAGATGATGAAAATGATGTTTGTTCTAATGAAAAGCCAAAACAAAACAACACACACCCAGCAGAAACCCATGCATCTATCTCTCCTCATCTCTACCTCCTGCACTGCCCCACCCTGTGTGATGCCCCCAAATTGTTTCCAGAAATGAGGGTCCAAGACAACTATTAAAATTTTTAGTGAAAACAGGAAAATTCTGTTAGCGATTTGTTGTCACCTTTCGAAAATGAAACAATAATTGTTTTCCACATATTTTTTAGTCTTTACTAAAAGTTTCCTAAAACGCCTGAGTCTCACTCCTTTAGACAAAATCTCTTTTCAAATTAGGGGGTATCCCTGTAGGTATGCTTGGATGCGTGCCCATGTGTTTATCCACATACACTCTGTTTCTTTTATGAAAAATAAAAATATGAACGCATTGTGCTTAGGTTCTGTGACAAGTCTTTTCGTTCTTAACACACAAAATACAAAATTCATAGATATTTGAGAATATTTTTATATCTATATATCTTTATGTGTTTTATATATCGTATAAATAAGCAACTACAAACAATCCTCGCAAGTTGTAGATTGACTGATACAACCGTGACACTGAGTATAAGCTGTGGTGAGTTACTCTCAAGTCAGGGTTTTCTTGAGTTTCTATAAAACTCAATTTTATAGAGAGCAATTAGCAGTTATCTTCTAAATCTAAAAGCAAAAACTTTCCTTGATAGCGATATTATATTTTAAAATGGTGAAGTCTGTTTAAAATATCCTACAATCCTTAGGTCTACTGCTGAGACCACGGGTTTATCGTTTTTATGTGCGCGGTACCTTCTTCTGCAAGGACAAAACGCAACTACTGTGCACAGAAAAGAAGAAGACATTCCTCTTTAAAGTTCACCCCAAGTCCCTGCCCCTTTTCTTCTCCTAATACTTGATCTTATTTTTCATGGAAACGTTCATGCTCCCAAAGTATTGGCAAATACAGAGAAAAGCGCTCACTGCTAGTTCTGTCAGGTTTTCTCCCAGCTCGGGGGCTGGTCGCTGCTGCAGGGCGCGCTCAGCCTTTGGTAACCAGCAGGCGGTCTCATCTAGCCTTTTCCTATATTCCGTCACCTGCTTACTCTCTCCTTGGAGTCTGAAAGAATACATTATTGCACAATATTTAGAAAATGTATCTAATTAAGCAGAACATCATATATTTATTTTGTCTATCTGCACTAAAGACATCACAAAAGAAATAACTCCCGATAACGATTTTAATGTTTTAAATGTGTCAATAATAATGTATGCATTCTGCAATACCAACAATTATTGGATAATGTAAGAAGAATTCTTCCTTCCTTAAATTCAAAAACACTGAAACCAAAGACTATTATCTTCTCTTAACATGAAAATGATATAGAACTCTAACAGAATTTTTTAAAGCTAGATACCACTGTACAACATAATGGACTTTTTAAAAACACAATAAGTGCCCTGGCCAGTTTGGCTCAGCAGTTAGAGCGCCGGCCCACGGACCAGAAAGACCCAGGTTCAGTTCCCGCTAAGGGCACGTACCTTGGTTGCAGTTTGTCCCCGGCCCCGGTTGGGGTAGAGTGTGTGGCAGCCACTCGATGTGTCTCTCCCACATCAATGTTTCTCTCTCTCTATCTCCCTCCCTCCCACTCTGAAGATGAATGCAAAAATGTCCTCGGGTGAGGATAAAAAAAACACAAAAAGTGTCTTGATCTAAAATTCTAAGAAAAAACATATAATTACTCCATGGAGATAGAAAGGCATCACTATATGACATATTATTCCATAGGTGGCAACTATTACTCTACTTCACTCACGGGAAAAAAATAAGAACAGGGCATGATACTGATAATGAGAATTTTTTACAAGTATTAAAAAAGACAAGAAAAATGGAAATTTAGTTGGTTCATTAAAATAAAACCTATATTTGAATATAGCCAAGTTATAAAAAGAGATCTAGAAAAGACAGCAAAAGTTTTAAAGGACATAAGGAAATAAACAGTTATTATGAATATAAAAATGGAACTGCCTTAACTGTATGTTTTAAATGTTATAAGAAAAACATTTATAAATATATAAACCATGTGTCAGAAGATGAGAATATGATTAGAACTCATATGACAAACAAGATTATATATTTTTAAGAAAGGGTTTGAAAGCTATTTAGAGCTTGGTGGTGGCATCATTATTTTTATAGCTGCTGCTACTAGATGATTTAAAAATAGAATGCAATTTTTTAAATGAATTACATTGTGTCATCTCCTAATAAGAATTTACATTTTTATGGCTATGCCTTTGTCTTTTTAATCACAAAAAGACCTAACATAATGATGCAATATATCTATATCATAGAGATACAGATATACTAAAATACTAGATAAATACCTATAGATTTAGTAGAGAATCAGTAATATTTGAAGGAGAGTATTTTTAAATTTAAAAAACTAATGAAAATCACAAGTTTTCATTTTTAAGTATCAGGAGAGAAGAACACTGCTTCAAAATTAAAAACAAAAAAAATCAAGCAACGGTACTAATTGTTAAGACTAACAATACCAAAAGAGGTAATGTATCCTCTGTATCAAAGAGTACTTAACTAAAATAATAACTTTGGAAGTACTTAAAATACTATTATAGACTTGTATTTCAAAAAAAAAGAAGTTGGGCTCTGACTGATTTGGCTCAGCAGTTAGAGCATTTGCCCTCAGACCAAAGAGTCTCGGGTTTGATCTCCAGCCCCAGTGAGGCAACCAATCAATGTGTCTCTCTCACATCAATGTTTCTCTCACTCTCTCTCTTCCCTCCCTCCTACTCTGTCTTAAAAAAAAAAAAAAAAAAAAATCAATAAAAAAATCCTTGGGTGAGGATTAAAAAACAAAGTTGGAATTTAAACTTTTTTCATGTTTAATAATCAGAACTAATGCAGTATTTTGAAAATATATATATGAAGAAAAATAACATTATTAAGTAATTTCAATAACACATATTTGAGTCACAAAATTTTCATCTGAAAACTAGCTAAATATAATCTACATTTTAAATGTTATCCCTAAGAGTAAAAACAAGTTCCTAATTCATGTTTAAACAGTAGATGACAGTTGCTCATTAAGAAATAACACCATGAGTTGTTGAACTGTGCAATTATGTAACTACAGGCACTCGATACAAAACAGGCTGAAAAGTGTACCATTCCTTCATGACTATGATACCAGGACACATGTAAGCTCCTAAAGTTCCAAGGTGGCCCTAACTGAAGACGAGGGACTACATGAAGTGAAATTAAACATGAGTTTATGAAAACAAGCAGTGCTTTGTCATTTTAATCACACAAAAACATATAAAATGTCTTGTACTGAAACACACAAAATAATAGATGAGTTCAAATGATAAAAAGTAGCCAAAGGCCAAAAAGTCGTACTTGTGTGTTTTGTTATGTGATAATATAGGCACACCTCGTTTTATTGTGTTTCACAGAAACTGCATTTTCTTACCAGTTGAAGGTCAAGAACCTCAGCTAGCAGGAAGAATACAGCTCGCTGAAGGCTCAGAGGGTGGTTGGCATTTTTCAGCAATGCAGAGTTGTTTAATTAAGGTATGTAACTGGTTTTTTAGACAAAATGCTCCTGCATACTTAATAGACTACAGTATAGTGTAAACATAACTTTTATATGCACTGGAAAACAAACAAAACAATGTGTGCCTCATTTTATTGTGATAATTGCTTTATTGTGGTGGCCTGGAACCAAACCTGCAATATCTCCAAAGTATGCCTGTACTGAACTTGAAAAAGTATTGGATGGGTCTTTACCAAAAAATTAGCATATTTCTAAAATACTACATCATCTATAAAGTTAAAATGAGCAGAAAAAATATCTGGGTCTTTTAAACCCACAATTAACCCAATAAAAGGTAATTTATGAGACAGAATGCATTAAGCAAAGTAGAAATCATCCATTAATTACTGACCATCTCAAAAAAATAACTTCAAATTATTTTAAAGTGATATTTAAACTACATATAATGTTCAGCATTATATTCACTAATAAACATATTTACAACCAGAAGACACCCTAATAAAACCTGGGGCACTGGAACATAATTTGACATAAGAACAGCAACAATACATCACATGTATCATATGACCTGAAGAGGAACTGTACTGTTCGCCAAGCACTGACATAGTGCGTGAAAACGGCATGCCGTTTGACTAAGAATGACTGACAGAGGGTTACTAAGGAAGACCCAAGGCCCAGGCAGGAAATGAGCAAGTGAGAGGCCTGACCCTCAACCCCGATCTTCAGACCAGAAGTCCAGAGTGTTCTTTCAACTACTCCCATTTCCTGCCACATGCTCACCATATCATAATAAACAGAAATAAAAGGAATAAAATATTTTTTACATGTATGATATCTGTATAGAAAAGTACAGTAAAGGAAAGTGTTCTAAAAGGCAGAACATGGACAGTGGGGGTCTGAGATGTCAGTAAAGCTCCTGTTGTAGTATCAGACGATAAAAGAACTTTGAACTCATCTACTTGCATCTTAAAAAGGCTCTGCCCAAAATAACTGTCCCCTGTGCCCCCGAGTTACAGAGGCTGCCTCACCGTGGCCGCCGATCCCTCACTTCCGCGATGATGGCACTCCAGCGCTGGTTGACACCTGCCAGCTTGTCTTTCAGGAAGCTTCCATCCATAGGGGAGAGTTTCTGAACAATCCCATCCCCAGTTCTGTTTAGTGCTGCAAAACTGGGCTGGTGGCTGCTGATTCCCTCTTCGAGCTCCTATAACAGAGTACAACCCAAGATTAATTCTGCCACAAAACTAAGATGTTCTGAGGCACTGGATCCCCCAGGTACCCTGGCATCAATTTGTGTGTTAGAGGAACAAAGTCCTGGGAGGGTATTGGTGTTCATGAAAAAGGCATTAAAAACCACTTTCATTACATTTCAACGAACGCACTGAACAAAATCCATTTTGAAATCTAACCCACTCCTGTGAATGTCAGACAGTGAACTAGAACAGATAAATAACAACTGTTTACAACTGAAGCCTAAGCATCAATCAGGTTTGATTAAAGTGGACTGCTTATCTTGCAAGTGTGTGCTCCAAAGCATTTCTTAAAAGGAAAAATAAACCCATATACCCTGATGTCCTACACATGTAAGTAAACCTCAGTGTGCATTTTCTTGAGACATTGCATCACTGGTCTCTAAATGTTTAAGCCAATGAATTTAAAGAGAATATTTTAAAGTAAAATTTAAGCACTCTTCTATATCTTTAAAAATAAGAAAAATGCATTAACATGTATATGAGAACAATAAATGCGTTTGTTTACTCCTCGTGAACCTTCTACATAGAATATATTTTTAAAATTTAATAAAAGGGAAAATACTTTTAACAATGGTACATTGAAATCTTGCTTGTTTTCCACCATTATTTTAAAGACCTATTATTATCAGCAGAACTGATTTTGGTACTGTGTTATATCTTCCGAGATTGAATTAGACTTACATGAGCAGCTGCCCTGATATAGCTCATGAATTATTTACTTTTATGATAATTATCAATAATACAAAGTGAAAAAAAGACGCCTCAGTGTTTAAGTACAGAAATGGTATGTTGATCTTTCTGTTGTAGTCTTTGGGTACAACATTTTACAGATGTTATTCTAGATATTAAATTTTTTCAATAAAATTGTTTTTCATATTAGCCATTAAAGTATTTTTAATTTAAATTTCATTAAAACCCCAATTTTAAAAATGTAAATAACAATTTTTCTTAAGCCTTTATGACTGGCAACTAAAACTGGAAAATTAAAGATGGTCTATAGGTGCCTAAAAAAGTAATATATTCAGCCCCTACTTTCTAAATATGTCTTTAATGCCACATACTGGAAGAACAAGCCACCGTCTCAGCAGACCCCTCTGCCAGGGAACACTCACCTGCTGCTGTGCCCTGGCTTGCTCTACGTCCTGGCCACCATCCGCCAGTAACTCTTCAGCTTCCGTTATCCACTGGGTGAGGTCGTTAAGGTCACAGTGGAACTGTCTCCATTCTTCCACAGCACTGTCAAAATAACTAGAGGACAACAAGTAAAATAAAATAGGTTTCCAAACTTCCAAGACTGTCTAAGAAGCAATTTTTCTAAGTACATTCAAATTCAGTGAATTCACAGCTCACCGCTCTACAGGATTGCTTTCTGTAATGGATGGCAGTTAATGATTCCTTTCAGAAAAACGTGCATTGTTCCGAGAGTAGAACAGTCCGCACACACACAGACCTGCCCCCTCTCACCCACGTACACCTTGCACATATATACACGCACACACTAGGCAGCTTATTAACTGAAAAGACACCCTTCTCTGGCTTGGAAAATCAAGATTGATGAGCTGCAGGCAGTTAACCCGCACAACGTTCAAACACTTAACATTTCAAATACCATGAAATGTCATATATGATTAATCACTCCATTTTCTCAGGGAAAGAGTATGGTGTTTTACCTTCTGAACATTTAGTTCTCAGGTAGAACCAAACCCAAAATGCCAAAACATTTCAAAATTTCCTTCCCTTACATTGTTCTCTGTGTGAGGGACTGAATTGTGACCAAAACTCATATATATGTTGAAGCCCTAACCCCCAAAGTGACTGTATTTGGAGATAGGACCTTTCAGGGAGGTAATTTTTAAAATCAGGTCATAAGGGTAGGGCCCTAATCCCATGGGACTGGTGTCCTAGTAAGAAGACGAAGAGACATCAGAGATACATTTCTCTGTCTGAGAAAGCAGAGAGAAAACACCATGCAAGGACACAGGGAGAAGGTGGCCATCTGCAGGCCAGTAAGAAAAGCCTCAACACAAACTAACCCTGCTGGCACCTTGACCTTGGACTTACAGCCTCCAGAACCGAGAGAACAGAAATGTCTGTTGATTAAGCCACGTAGTTTATGGTTTCTTGCTACGGTAGCCCTAGCAGACTAACACTGCGCAGTGACTGACCCAGTGTGTCTCCTTGATCTGAACATAGCACAGTATGGACGAACCTGCAAAGCCAGGTCCAGCAATGAGACAAGGGACTCTCGAGATGCTATTTAAGCCTCACTCCTTTAGAAATGAGATGGAGGCAAAGTCCAGTGCTTGTTGTATTTCGAACATATAAAATAAGTAGAAATAAAGTATAAGCTTTGTTTCATTCAGACTCTAAAGAGTTTCCTTCTGCCTTTTCATTTAGGTAAGTGGTGCTGGGAGGGTCTTGCAAAATACCTCTGAGATTTTAATATTAACAAAATCTTTACTTTACGTAATAAAAAGATATTATTATTTTTCAAAAATAACAAAATGATCCCTGATATCACTACTTCCAAAATCATGTTTATATTTCCTTCTCCCATGAACATTGTTTTGAAATTTTAATATTTGTCGAGTGCCCACAGGGAAGTAACATTCTATTGAGCATGACAAAAATAAGAGCCCTTCAAACAAAACACTGTGAGAAATATTAAAATACTCGTTATTACTTTGGGTTAAAATGTGCAGTAACTAAGTAACAACCACAAATTTCAACTTTTGGAATGTTGCAATAATAAAGAGAAAATGTTGCTAAAAAGGCTGCTCCAATGATCTAAAGACTCTGAGAATATAAACAGTAAACCTAGTAAAGATCACTATCATCATAACAGAACATACATTTCAAATAACTGTAAAGCAGTTTAGCTAGAGGATAAATAAGAAAGAGTTGGAAAGAGAGAGAGAAGATGTTCAGCTAGGATTCACTAAGCCATCACCTCCTCTCTGAATACTATCAGTTCATATGAGAGGCAGCATGGAATTGTGAAATATGGACTTCCAGAGGGTCAAAGAACTCAAAGTTCGAGCCTTAATCTAGAAACATACAAGCGTGCTGTGTCTAATATTGCAACTGGCATTGATATCTCCCCCCACAAACTCATATCGCAGCCTGTGTTCCTGGTCTCTGGCAATGGTACCATTGCCTACCTGGGTCCTAAAGCCAAAGACTTGAGGTCATTTTACTCCTCCCTACTCCTTACTCTAGCATCCCACCCATCACCACATTTTATTGCTTCAACTATTTAATTCTCAATGTTTTCCTTAGTCTCCATTTCCATGGCCACTTGCTAATCACGTTATCACCATGTGTCAAGCACGGATGGATCGACCAGCTCCCAGTTTTGTCCTCCACCAATCCATGCTACCATCAGCAAGCTCCCATCCCCTTGTTAAAACAGTGTGGTGACTCTCTATTGTTCTCAGAATAAAAGACACAACTGGTTAACATGACACACAAGGTCCTTCTTATATGATCCCTTTAGGCCTTTCTGTTTGTATCCCACTGCTATGAGTTCAAGCTCTGCTGGACTATTTTCAGTTCCTCCAAAGCATCACTCTCTCTCTCACCTATGCCCTTACTCAGTATTGTGTTCTCTCTATTCCTTCACCTGGCTACATTCACCATTTCCAAGGTTTCCCAGATCCCTCAGGGTCCCTCACACAGCCTCCTACATTGTCCCCATATGGTACTATAGAAAGAAATATGAATTTTAAAGTTAGAATAATTAGATAAAAATGACTATACTGAATGAAAAAAAAATTAGATGAAAAATGTATGGTATTAGACTAAAACTGATAGTTTCATAAGACATAATTAGCAAAATTAAATAAATATGAGATAGAGATGCACTAGAATAAAGGAAATAGCACCAACAATATGGAGGAGCTAAATTATGCAATAAAAGTATTGAAAAAACTGGTTGTTCGTTTGAGAAAAATATAATGACACAGAACAGATGAGTGTTTTGTATCTCAGGCTGCACGAAACCTGAGCTGAGGGGTGTTTAACAGCAGAGCTGCATGAACCCTCCGCGCGATACTGAAGAGTCACCACATAGAACCTCCCTTAGGAGCCTCAACACAAAATATATTTCAAAATAAAATTCAGGTGGCTTAGTTATTAAATGTAAATTTTAAATCAAACAAAATTGTTTTTAAAGTATACATAAATATTTAACTACTATCACCAAAAAAAGTATTTTGTATGCATAAAAACCAACCAAAATCACAAAGGAAAAAGTCTCACTAGATATAATTATATAAAATTAAACCTATACATCAAAAAAAAACACTGTTAACAAAACTGGACAGCATATGAAAAGCTGTGACTAATTAAGCAATAAATAAGAAATATGAATAGTTAATATCCTTAATGTAGAAAATGGTTTTGCAAATTAATCAGTAAATAGTAATACCACATTAGAAAAATGAACAAAGAAACTGACCTAACAATGGACAGAAGAAATAACACTGGGGCCAATGAATATATGTAAGAATATTAAAATCTCACTGATAGAAAGAAATGAAAATAATATTGAGATGCAATCTTCACTATATAATTGGAAAAGGCATTTTAAAAAAAGCCAACTTTTCATTGTTAACAAGGGTTCAGTTAGCTTTCACATATACTGTTGGCAGGGGTATAATAACCAATTTCATAATGCAGTGCAGAGCCTTAAGATGTTATTATTTTTTAATAATTTAGTCTTTATCTAATAAGCACATCTAATATGCATAAAGATATACTTAAAACAGTATTCGCTAAATGTACAAAGATGAATTTGAAAATCCATACAAAGTAATTAGAAGGCCATTAGAAGTGATCTTTTCAATGATTACATAATCACATAAAAAATGTAAGCTAAAGCAAAACAAAAAAGATGAAGAATATGATGCTTAATTTTTGTGTATATGTCTCTAAAATTTTCTAATGTATTTTTCTATGTTAACTTTCCTCTAACATGGTATTGGGCTATTTCACATTTTATTTGCCTTTCTACTACATACAAAGCTACTGCCAAAGATCTTATTTCTACCTATTAATAGGCCTGGTCAAACTGTAGAAAGAAGGAGGCTCAAAATCATTCTATTAAACAGAAGGTTATTTTTAAAAAGAGTTTGTGGTTATATATGGATTCCAATTATCTGGACCTGTCTCTCACTCACATGAATCATCAACTTGTGGAGAAAGTGAACATTAATGAAAACACTTTCTAAGTTAAAGAAAATGGACGCTATTTAGAAATTAAAAACTAAAGGTGCTTTTTTAAAATTATTAAGATATTATGTTGCCAATGACAATCTATATGTAATCTCTTTCCTCTTTCTTTAAGGACATACACTCATCACAATTTATTAAACAGGGTCTCTTCCAAGGATGTGAAACATATTCTCATTCATCTTAATGGACATATGACCTTTGTCATGGCTCATGAGTTTATAGATTTTTTTTTAAAAATTAAATGCGAAGTTAATTTACACGTACCCTTTACGATCGTTGTACATTCTATTAATTCTGTCCCATTTTGCATTCAGTTGAGTAAGTGTATCCCGGATCTGAATGGCTTCAGGTCCGGAAGCTTCGAGGATAACATCTGGTTGTTCTTCATGAATGACTGCGATGTGTTCTCCGAGTCTGTCCAGTTGGTCTTTGATATTCTACAGATATATGGTCAAAAATTCACAGAATCCAGCAAAGAGATCAAAAGAATGAAATCACAGATGCAAATTTTATATTGTATAGCACTTACTCACTAGATAATGAGATATAATAATTTTTGCTATTCAAAACTGGAAACTTAAAAAAATAGTGCCCTGTATTAGCCAAAGTGTGAGGAATGCTCCATGATGTCCCAGTGGTGGTGGGGAAATCCTCACAGGTGTTCCAAGTGGCATTTGTACAGGACATACACAGTTTCAATAACATTCTATAAAGGTAATGAAGTGTTTAAAGCTCAAATTGCTTATATTTTCATATATCTAATAATGCTAACTTAAATGACGAAAATGAGCTGTCAGTCAAAAGCTATCAAATCTATCAGCAATTTTATTGTGACATTATATATAAGTACAATCAGATCATATGAAAAAGCCTCAATGATGTTTAATAGTTTTGTGAATTAAAAACTTCCAGATCCCTAATTAACTTATAGTCAACAGGCCATTCCATACACAACCACTGGCCAATGTTAAATCATTATAAGTGGCAAGATTAATGCTGACTTATTACATCCAACTGACGATCGAGTTTATAAGAAAGGAATATTGATTCCGCAGGTGTCTGATTAAACAGTGTCTCTGATGATGGAAAGAATTAACTGTACACTAAAATCCATTTTTTTTTATATTATATAATTAAATTTTTTATAATATTTCCTTGGTGAATATAGGAAAGTTTTATTATTCATACACATTGTTAATTCCTTGGCACAAATTTTAAAAGCTACAAATATCTAAGTAGGTGCAATGACGAATTCCTTGCATTATTTCTACATTAACTGCAGCTATTCAAATGCCCTGTCCGGAGATTTACCTTCAGAGCATCTTCCTGAAAAGAGAAGTCTTCATACACAGCAGTGCTGAGCTCTGGAGTATTGAGTGATAATTCAACATCATCCATGGAAAGTAAAACCTTGTTAATTTCAACCAAATAATCTGTAGGGAGGGGTGATGATTTAATGCCAGAAGCTAGTTGACCTGTTCTCTTCTGTTGAATAGGGATTGCCTGTAAAATTATTAAAAATAATTATAATGTATATCTCTTAAACTATCCCACAATGACTAACAGCAAATTGGAAAAAAATTTTAAAAAAGGAAGAAAGAAAGAAAAGGACTATTTTGTGGAGAAGTACAATACCCTGAACTAAATATTTTAAAACTAAGTTTTAATATTTTATATTTTTGCCCTGCTTTGCCATATAAACCCTTAACAATCTCTATCCTAATAGAGATTTTTGTGTGTAGCCTGCTTTTTAAACAAAAGTTTCACTTCCCTGGTCACTTTGGCCCGAGGACAGAGGTGCCTTAGGTACAATTCTTGATCACAGGCACCTGGGTTGCAGGTTCGATCCCCAGCCCTGGTTGGGAGGCAACCAATCAATGTGAAACACATCAATGTTTCTCTCGCTCGCTCGCTCTTACTCTCTCTCCCTCCCTCCCTCCCTTCCACTCTGTCTTAAAAAACAAAACAAAACAAAAAAACAATAGAAAAATATCCTTGGGAAAGAATTAACAAAAAAAGAGAAAGGTTTCACATTAAGACCTATGCCACTGAAACTCATTTAGCAAAGAGGAAAACGTAACAGGTTCTTTCCTGAGTTACTGAGGAAAGGAGAATAGGCTACAAATTATAAACTTCTATATGAAATAAAATACTTTAATACCTTATTATTTCACCCATTTTTAAAAATCTCACAATTGTATTAAACACTTCTGGGCTTCACTGTTCAAAATATAATAAGTTAAACATGTATTCATAACATAAGAAATTTAATAGGGGTTTTTATTGAAATAACATACAGATAATTGTATATAATCTTAACTTTGGAGAACAATATTATAGAACAGAAATATCCTGCATAAGACAATAGGTTCTACACACTAAATCCAGACAAAATTAAGCTAAGCTGAGTGGACTACTTATCTACCCTAATGATTGTATTTTCTGTATCCTCTGATCAGAGCTTGCAAAATAATAAAGAGTTCTCTGGAATGGGCTACTCCCTAGTCCTTAAGGAGTTGAAGTCCTTTACTTCTAGATGGCTACAGTTTAATAAATGCTGACTACTACTTGCAAATAGCGAAAGTTCATCTACTCATGATTAAGGTAGCCTTCACAGTTTCACTGTATCCCGATATTGAACTTCTAAAAAATTATATTCCTCTGTAAATTCAAAGGTGATAGTAAAATAATCATAAATACGTGTTCATTGAGTTAGTGACTCTGAAAACGGTTACAATTCCTCAATGAAACCACAACTCAAGACTAAAACCATTGACTCAATAACATGGTATTTAATCTAGAAGTCTGAATTTATTTATAACCAGAACAGACCTCCGAGGGACACCAGCACATTTACAAGACGGCTGGGAATATGGCCACTGAAAGGGGAACTGGTAGTGAATCTCTTTCTAGAATATAAGTCATAGTTTATCAATTTCACAAATTTGATTGTTTGTAAACTAGAAATTTTTTTGACATGGTCAAGCCTCCCCATGTATAATACAGATCCAAAGGAAGAAGCCAATCCAAAAAAAAAATCCCATTTAAACTTTAATACATTATCGGAAATCCAAAAGATGCCCAATAATAAGGTTTTATGTTTCTATTTTCTTTGACTCTTGCCCCATTAAAAATATAAACATAAATAGCAATACACACTAAAAGGAGGAGATAGTGTTCCCACTGGTGGCAAAGGCTGAGTAAGGTATTTAAGTGGAACAGACACTCTCCCATGATAATACCTTAGTTTTGTTGTATCTCGTATGCAAAAGTAATAACTGCAAACGAATCTTTTCCTTTTTATTATCCTCCATAGGTTGATGTAACATGTGTTCTCCTCGCTGCAGAACTTCCTCAATCTGGGCTCTCTCCTCATCTATCTGAATGTGGAGAAGGAAAAATTATACTCAAAAGACAAATGCGTAGGTTCACTTACCATCAGTTCCTGAGGAGGAGAACTAACCTCCAAAGTATGTCAAGCTGTGTTCATCGAAATGACACATAACAAAAAAAAATTCATGTTTTTCTTAAAATAGCAGTACTCACTAGAAAGGAGAAGGAGATAGTGTTCCCACATTTCATATTTGATGTTAAAACATAAAGAACGCTAGTTTAGCAGAAGTTAGATGGCATTAAAATAACATTACTTTTAGTCAGAAAGTACCACATCTATTCTTTTGAGCGTTCCATTGACATTCACGAGAAAATCATATTTGGAATGTTCTGTCATGTGTGGCAGTTATGTGGGTAAACAACATTGGTGTAAAAATATATTTAACAGAGAAGAAAAATAAGAACAGCACGGTTTTGAAAATTCTGAACCAACCTTTTCGTCTTCATTACTGGATTCCAAGTGTTTTTCCACAATTTTTAACATATTTTCTATGTCATTTTCTAATCTTTCCAAGTCAGAGAAAGGCACATCAGCTTCAAATGCTTCACTGGTGACCAGACATTGGTATGATGATGGTTCCTGGCCAATTAGCAACTGTGGAAGGAAGACTGTTCTATGAAAAGATATTCTTAACTTGACCTTCTGTCACTAATTAGAGGGAAGACGTTTCAAAAGAGGAACTAGCATTTATTTGAATTGACCTTAACTCATTTGCAGTAATTATTTTACCAATTCGAGCTTCTCTGAGTTATCCATTTCTCCACACTCTAGCAAGGGATGTGAAGTAGTGTGCAAATGACTGTGTCTGCCGCAAATGCTGTTGGGAGGTTCTGAGACCACACATGAGCACGGCCGGAAATGGCACCATGATCCAAAGCCAGCCCTACCATGGCCACAGACAAAGAGAAAGGCCACCTAGTACAGGTACGTGCCAAAGAAAGACTTCCAGTTACCTTTCCCCAGCAGAGCTGCCCTTGGATTTTGACAGCCAAACTTCAAAGAAGTACATATTTCTCAATGCAGTATTTTCAGGCAATATCTATGTAGAAAGACTTTACATTTATGTGACTGAACTCAGTGTAACAACTCTGATAAAGCTAAATGACATGCAGGAAAATGACAGGCAGTGCTGGCTGAGCACGAGGAGCTAGTCTCTGACATTCTGACTGTGAAAGTAGAAAGTGGCCCCGACTCTCTGCAAGGCTCTTTGGAAAATCATTTTAACAGTATTTATATACACAACTTCTGCAACAATTTCAAGGAATTCTAAGAATTGATCCTCAGTGTATATTAAGAGATGGGTAAAAAGATGTGTAAAAGTATTTTGAGGAAGCAATATTTATAACAACACACAATAAAAGTAAATAAAACTAACTTAGAAATCATAACAGATGGTAAAACAAAATACTTACTGCCATTAAAAACCATGTCAAATGAGAATACACAAAACCATATAAACTTTTTGATATTTAAAAAAATATGTTTTTACTGATTTTTTAGAGAGAGAAGAAGGGAGAGAGAGATAGAAACATTTATGTGAGGGAGAAACATCTATCGGCTGCCTCTTGCAAAACCTCAACCTGGGCATGTGCCCTGACTGGGAAACGAACTGGGACCTCTCACTCCATGGGGTGATCCTCAATCCACTAAGCCACACCGGCCAGGCTAAAATTTTTTATTTTGATATTTAAATATTCCACACATATGAGTAAGAATAGACATGTGTGCCAAAATGTTGAGGTTATTCATGGGGACAATGATAACTGTGTTTCTCTATACTTTGTCTAACTCCATCCTAATGTCTCTATGTCTTGTACATCACTCTTCTTTTTTTATAATCCTCACCCAAAGATATTTTTCCATTGATTTTTTTATTTTTTCAGATGGGGGGTGGGGGGAAACATTAATGTGAGAGAGACACTTAGATTGGTTGCTTCCCACACAACCCCAAGCAGGGCTGGGGAACAATCCTGCAACCAAGGTACGTGCCCTTGACCGGAACTGAACCCGTGACTCTTCAGTCTGCAGGCTGACCTCTAACCACTGAGCCAAACCGAAGCTACATTATGCTTTTTTATCAAGAAAAATCTCACACAGATCTACTGAAAAAAATAAATGAGCATAGGTCAGAAGATAAGGAGGCAAGGTGAAGGCTAAGGAAGACAAAAGTTAGAGCAAGATTTTCTTTAAGTTGTGAATAATATAGTCTATTCACAAGCTATGAAAGATAGGATGGTCTATTACATCAGATATTTCAAATGAAAGCCAACTTAGAGAATATTTTACTTCCTGCGAAAAAGAGGATCCTTCCTCTTACATAATTATAATACTGAAGTCTGCAGAGGTGGAATTAACTGACTACTCAAAACGTGCCATCCAATGGGCATAGCTGAGATTCTAAAAAACTCAGAATCCTATCTCAGAATGAACACCTGGTTTAAATAACCCCCAACTGGCATCTATGACGCTTTGTTTTGTTATTCCACCCCCCCCCCCCCCCCGGCAAACTATCAAAATGTTTTCATCAAATGATAATGTTACTTCTGAGCACTACCCACATGCCAGGCCTTGAGATCACTGTGAACATGTTTCGTTTCCCCCCTCATGCAACAAGGTAAGAAATAAAGAATAAGAAAGGTATACGCACACAGAGGAAAATTATAATGTGGAAGCATAAATTAATACCATTTTTTAGTAAGCTCTTATCTATTATACTCTTACTTAAATCTATAATGCTCTTTTTCAAATTTGTAAAACATGGTAGTGGCTTTTAAATTGTGAAATTACTTGTAACTTTTAGAAGGGTCAACACAGAAAAGTAAGTTCATACATGTTCCGTGCGCACAAATGTATAAAGTCTGATGCAAAACGAGTTTAACATGCATGCTCAGCTTGGGAATCCATCTCATTATTGTATAGCCGATTTTAACAATCGCGTGAGACTCCAAAAACCGTTTCTCAAATGGGTTATTTTCTTCAATATTCATTTCATATTTTCTCTCTTGCATATGCACAATCACGAATAAATAAGGACAAATGTTCATTCAAGAAAAAATTTACTTTTAAAATTGACTTATATGCCACATAATCATCTAGAGATACATAATTATACAGAAAATAGCTTTACATGAAAAGAATTACTCACCTTGGCACTCCTGATGTGTTGAGACACCTTTTCAAAGTTTCGGTTCAGTTCGGTTAACTTGGGCTCCACCAGCTCCCTGCTTGAGCCTCCACGGGCACTCATCAGAACAGCGGCTTGACCACGGACATTCTCCACTTGGAGTCTGGCATCATCCAGCTCGGACAGTAAACGCTAATTGTAAGAAAACACAATCTTACCACGTGGGAAAAATCAAAACCGAACAGGGGTGTGATGCTAACTCAGAATTAAAGGGAGAATAAATAAATATCTGAGATTCCTAAAAAGATGTTTTAATACAATCAACTTGCGTTAGGAGCTGTTCATACATTAGGACTCATTCAAGACTTCAGTGTCTCCCACCAAAACAAACGAATCTGTTGCGTGGGAAGAATGTGCATGCTGGGAACTTGGTGTTTCCACGAGGAAAAGACCACAGCAAAACCCCCCGCCCCCAGAAGTGTGACTGATCCTCTTTTGCTACCTTCACGATTTCTTCCTGTTTACTTGCTGGTTTTTTCTCAATCTCGTCCAATAGAGTTTCAGCTTGATAAAGCCAGGTACTTATGTGAGCAACATTTCCGTCAAATATTTCCAACTGGTTCTGATGGCTCTAGGGGGGAATTCATAAAATGTTGACACAATCATATGAAATATTTAAGATGATAATATTCTAAAAGACCCTCAATGAGCTAATTACATGTTGAATTTAAAGGGTTTCCACCTTAGGCTCTTCCAGGTGAATAAATCCTCATTCCTAAAAACACACAGCTATGGTTAAGCACTTGTTAATTTGATTTAGACCTCAGAACAGTTAAGAGGTGAAGAAAAATAAAAGGTGAAAGTTTCTCTTTCAGTCTCATTTTCACTTGTCTCCCATATTCTTCCTTCTTAACATTGCAAGTAATCTCAGTTGAAAAATAAAATCAGAAATGGGATGAGAAAAGTTTTGACAGTGACCTGCATTTTAAATAAGAAGAACTGATAAACACCAGACTAATTTACTCTAATAAAGAAGGTAAATCAATGCTCTAACAAGACTGGAAAGAGACTACTTGGAAAAGAATTTGGAAGGTATGGACTGAAAAATACAGGAATAGGGGCTGTGAGAACGTGGAATAAAGCTACTTATCACAAAAACAAACATAAAATATTTAATAAACACATTCTATGATCCAAGAGCTTCACATTCATTATTCAACATCCAACAACTTTGTTAGTATGTTCTTTTATTCCCATTTTTATATAAGAAAATTAAAGCTTAATGACATGTCACTTATCCAGGGTTATGCAGATAATAAAGTATGCATGAACTCCGGATTTGAATCTGACAGATCACAGTGTAAGCCCATGACCTTCAATGCCCTACACATCCTGACTGATTTTAATAAAGGTTCAAATACACAATAATTTATTTTTTGGTCTCTATCCAGTACCTAGTAATTCTATGAATTTGGAAAAAGTCCTATCTACGATATGTCAGCACAAAATACTAATTTATAAATGACAACTCCCTCTAAGGGAGTTCAGAGAAACAGAAAACCACTTTGAAAATTAAATGGTCACTATATCCATGAAGTAATTAAGAGTGCATAGTATAACCAAAAACCAACATATGACACTTAACAATTATCTTAATTGTTATAATAAAATCTAAAATTGGTTGTTTCAGGTATAGTTATATAAAAGCACCACATGTTTTATGTCATATAATTATCACAACAACTTTATAAGGCAGAAATAACAATAATGCCCATTTTACATATGAGGAAACTGAGACTTGGAGAGCATTTAAGTACCTGGACTAATGTCACCCAACCAGTCAAAATTTTTACTTAGGCCATCAGATGCTAAAGCCTGTGCTCTTAACTAGTACACTATTATCAGAACATTATAAAGATTATGTACATAGTTTATAATAACATGCAAATTAAATACAATATTAAATCATTAAAACATAACAAATAGGGCTCTGGCCAGGTCACTCGATTGGTTGGAGCATTGTCCCACACATTGTGAGTTCAATTCCTAGTCAGGGCGCATATGAGAGGCAACTGATTGATGTTTCTCTCTCACATAAACTTTTCTCTCTCTCTCTCTCTCTCTTTCCCTTCCTTCTCTCTAAAACGAAAAACAATCCGGCTAATGTGGCTCACTGGTTGAGTGGCGACCCAGAGTGGCAACCAAGAGGTCACCGGTTCAATTGCCGGTCAGGGTACATGCCCAGGTTGTGGGCCCGATCCCCAGTGGGGGGCATGCAGAAGGCGGCCAATTAATGTCTCTCATCAGTGTTTCTATCTCCCTCTCCCTCTCATTTCCTCTCTCTCTAAAATCAATAAAGGAAAAGGAAATATTAAACATATCCTCAGGTGAGGATTTTTTAGAAAATGTAACAAATAGGTACATTTACTAAGATATTAGTGTTCACATTTCTATGTAGATCACAAATGGTTTATTACCTAACAGAGATATTTCAAACTCTAATTATTATCTTTTCAAAGAAAAAAAAAATGTAATCTAATGAAATTAATTCACAGATAGAACATTACTGTGACACAGAGAAAAGAGAATTTGGAATTCTAATCAAAGCTGTATTCATTTTGGAATAATTAAAGGAGAGAAGACCTCGTCATTCAGAGACCTACCATCAGGGTATTGCACCAGTCCTCGGTCCAGGTGCGAACCCGGCTCCAGCCAGCGTTGAGGACGCACAGCCTCTCTTCCAGAGCAGGCTCGCTGCCCTCCACCAGGCTCTGCAGGGCAGCGCTGCTCTCTGTGATGGTATTTAAATCAGCTTTTCTCTTTTCCAGATCCTTCAGAATATTCTAGAAAATAAAAATACCAAGACCCACTTGATCTTTCAGAACATGATAAAAGTTCATACAACCCTAATTTTAAAACAAGGGCTTCTTCCACATACTCCCTGGGAAGCTCACAACTGCCAAAGGGGTACAACTCCGGGACTTATTAATGTGTGAGAGTTCTTAAGTTGCTAACAAAACTCAAAACATTTAATTGTGTATATAACAAGAAATGCATTAGATTCAGCTATGAAAAGGGTAATTTCTTATTTTAAGAATAAATTCCATGTATCACACACAAAGACTAACTAGCTTCATCATAACTCCAGATGTAAACAATCAATTTCATTTTCTGTAACTATAGGCTGGCAAAGTAGAACTATCCCAGAACTCACAATTCTAAAAAATTCCTACTGAATTTATCTCCTTGATTACTACAGGAGACAATTGATGTGTACTATAGTTATTTTCAAGGACTGCATACTATAACTAGATGACAACATACAATTTGCTATATAAGCGCTACAAAAATAATTCGCCTTACGTAAGTCATAAGAATTAGCACGTCTAAGCCTTGGTCTTACAATTGTCATAATACATGAAAGTAATACTCTGGATGGTATGAGGACAACTTGATTTTCGTGCTCATTAGTTTGAGTAGGCAAGGTGTACAGTCAGAGTTACAGAGAGAATATCGGGTTCCACAATGCAAACTACCATGTTCTTTCAATCATAAAGTGACGTGCATATCTAACGTGCATAAAAGAACCTTTTTAAACCAATATTAAAACAAATCTTTTAAAGAACTCAAGTCTATGTTTAATTTCACATCATTAAATCACATTTTGGAAGACATAAAAATTGCAAATTCACCAGTGAGTCAAGGTTTGAACACTTACTTGGCCATATCAACAACTGATACTTTCAAAGGCACTAAAATGTTTCACTCAAGCATCAAGCATATATATACATATATATATAGTTTGTACAGACATCTATGTACAAACATATATATAGAGAGAATACCCACAGCCAGGTGTCCTGAAGTTAAGGTTTTCTGCATTCCTTCAGTGGGTATGTACTGACTAGCATAGTCTTTAAGAACTATAAGAAAGAATTAACTACAAGTAATTAAATTGAAACAGTACACATGTTATCTATGCTTACAGATTTTATTGCCAAGAAAATGACTACACTGAAAATAATGACAGTTGAGTATGGAATAAAAACACTAAGTTCAGAAATAAAAGTACTATTTAAATTTTGCATTGAAAATAATTTTACCTATGTTTAAGTGCAAATATATGTAAATGTGAAAAATTCATGTTTCTTAAACATGAAAATATAACTTTGAAAAAATGGATGATTCTGTTACATACTGATGTTTCACTTGATTTACTCTAATGAAGAGAATGTGCTATGAATTCATGATTTGTATATACCAGCCTCATTATTTCAAATCTAAAATAAGACTAACTGGGGATTTAAGAGTGAGTTGTTTAAGAAAAGACAAACATATTAATTACAGTCTTTACCTGAAAAACTAACTAAATTTATATGTGTGCAAAGATGAATAAAAATTAAATATGTAAAATCAGTAACATCTATGTACTAGCTATAAGCAATTAGTAAGAAAGAGAAAAGGAATACTTTTTAAAGTATATAAAATAAATAAGTATAAACAAACTTCTTTGCATATACATAGTTTCTGAAGAAAATAACCAAAGCATTATATAGGTATTTTAAATTTTTGGTGGGAAATGAGATTATACCATGTGACTAAAATGATAGTATAACAAAGATGTCAAGTCCTCTCAAAACAAATCTATAAATTTAAGGCAATTCAAATCAAAATTTCTAACAGAATATTTTTTAAGAATTTGAGAATAATAATTCTAAAGTTCATATGAGTAAATGCTCAAAAAGAGCATAAAAACAGGAAGCCCATTAAGCACTTATTCATATATGTTATAAAGCAACATAGTTTAACAGCTGAAAAACATTTCAGAGGGGCTGATCAGTGAAACCGAAAACAAAGAAAATCAACAGCCAAAAAGAATAGATGATTAGCATGTCTAATCAGTGGGGAAGGGATAGTTACTCAATAAATAGTGCTGAGATAACTGGTTAACTACTTGGAAAAAAAGGTTAGAGGCTTACCTCATTATATACACCAAAATAAATTCCAGAGGGATTAAAGCATTAAAGGTAAAGAGATGAAACTATAAAAGAGCTAGAAGAAAATATAAGCAGATAATTACATAACCTTGGAGCAGAGTTGGACTTTCTAAGCACCAATGGCATAAATAATGAAGAAAAAGGTTATTTTATTACTTAAAAATATATAATAACACTATTTTTAAATATATATACAGAACAGAAAGGGAACTAGAGTGGCAAAAAAAATTTTAGTAAGCATTACATAGTAAGCATTAATAATTGCAACAGGTAAAGAGCTCTATATTAAAAGACCTAACAGGTAAAAGAAAATGGTCAGAATTACAATAAAAGGCAATTTTTAAAAAAGAACTACAAATGGCCTATAAATTGATGGAAAATATTCTAGTTAAATGACCAAAACATGATATCTGCCTACCATTGTCAAAGTTGTGGTTAAAATAAGCAAGCAGGAATTCTCACGTAGAGCTGGTAGGTACAATGTTTCTGAAGGACAGTTTCATAATATGTATAAGACTTTAAAATGAATATATCCCTAGACCCACTATTTTTAGGTCTAAGAATGTATCCTCAGGAAATAATTGTGAATACATGCTATGCCTGAGCTACAACTACATTCATCATAGCATTTTTTACAATAGTGAAAATTGGTAATAAATTAAGTGGACATGAATGGAGAAATGAAACAATAAAAAATAAAATATGCAATTAAATACTGTGCCTGTCTCCAATTTGTGATACAAAAACACGTGTAGGTAAAGGAAAATGCTAAAGATGTAAGCCTTTTTGTAGACGGGCATGAAATACCAGATACAAAAGAATTCTTCTTAAATATATGCTTTGCCCGTTTGTGTCAATGTGCCTATAAAACACTGAAGAGATAACAGGGTGCTCTTTGATTCTAGATGATTTTTGCTCCTGTCTTCTTTTTACTACATGATAAAAATGTCATTCAATTAGCTTATATAGTGTATGCTACTAATAAGAAAACAAGGGCTTTTGAAGTATATTGTACAAAGAAGGTAGTGTTTCCTTGAAAAAGTTAAATTTAACACAAATAAAGTTCCATGCCTTTGCTTCATATTCACCTACAATATACCCATAAATACCAACACTCTTCATCTCCACCATTTTTTCCACTTCACCCAGCCCATAGCATAATTATGCTTTCCATGAGCTATTTTCTAAACTGAGAACATTCTTTCTAGTTCCTAATATCCTGACTTTCATTCAGCTGTTATCTCCACAGAGTCGTCAAATTAAGAAGTTGTATCAACCTACAATCTCAAATCACCTCCTCTTCACTGCCCACAGGCCCAGCAGGAGATGCCAAAACTGATCTTGTGACTTCATAGAAATTTTGGTCACAGTATTGATCATTTATTTTCAGTGCTTATCTCTAGTATGCATGCCTTTCTTACAAAATAAATTTGGGAAAAGAAAATGCCTGGTTAAAATAAATAAATAAAAACACGACTTTGTGTTCCATTCAATTCTTTGCCCATCTCAAAAGAGAACTGGCAAATCCACTCTCTAATCTCTGTAATTTCAAAGTAACTCAAGGGCTAAAGAACACTCTTGGATCTTTTATTGATTCTTTTGAAAATTCTGTTCCTATGCTCTTTACATCAGTTTGTGATGGAAAGATTAGTGACTGGTACAAAAGTTATTACAGAAGAATTAACAAATAAGCACAGCACAATACTTTGGGAAGAATGAATACTCAAGTTTCACCAGTTTCGAAGGCGAGAACTATCATATTTTCCAGTGCCACATGAGGATAGTGCCTATGAAGGCCTGCTGGTGGTCCCTCTGAATTCAACGCTTTGGAATAAGACAAAAGTCACTTCTTAAAATAGCTGTTTTTAAACTATTCTTGTTTCTCTTAGGACAGAGAAGTAGAAAAATAATGGAAAAAAGAAAAGGCTGTATTTGATGTGAAATGGAGAAAAACGGCACCCACCCAGAATGCCCTGAGCCAAACGCCACAGGTCACCTTGGCTTGCCACTGGCGCTTCACCTGGACTACAACTTACTTTCGCCCAGGAAATTTCCGAGTCCAAGTCACCAAGCAACCCTTCTGCGGTGGATTTCTGTACCAGTTCCGCTTCGGTCACAGACAGCCACTCCGAGAGAGAAGCAGCCTCTCTCTTCATTTTCCGGGCCAACTGTGATGCTCGTTCCAGGTCCTGCTTTCCCTCCGTCACCTGAAGGGGAGGGAGGGAGAGAACGGAACGTGAGTGGGGATGAACCAGAACGCTAACTGAGGATTCAGGACTCCGATTGAACCCCAAGAGATACATAACTTTATCTCTGGTATGTAGAGAGAAAGCATTTCTGCAAGGGGACAATATGCTGAAGTGGTTGAGTGTCAGACAGCCCTGGGTTTTCATCTGAGTTCTGCCACTGACTTCCCAAGTGACCTTAGTAGAGGTAAGGCCCTCAAAAGGTCACTATGAGTTTTAAAGGAGAAGAACACATACACAAAGGACTTGTCCCAGTCCTTGCAACAAAGGTAAGGGATCAATATGCAGCATCTTTTACCACTTTGAACAGAAGATGCTTAGAATCCTCTCAGTGAAGGACTCTGTTTAAAAACACATTATGCCTGGCCCGTGTGGCTCAGTGGACTGAGCATAGTCCCATGGACTGAGAGGTCCTGGTTCGATTCCTAGTCAGGGCACATGCCTGGGCTGCAGGCTTGATCCCCAGCAGGGGGCGTGCAGGAGGCAGCATGTGTTTCTTTCTATCTCTCTCCCCCTTCCTCTCTCTCTAAATAATCAATAAAAACATATTTTTTAAAAATAAAAAACATTATATTCCAGCAATTTAAGGAGAAATAGCACAATTTTCACAATCATGTTTTACAATTAACCGTTTAACTTAAAATACAGTAAATGACTATGCAACAAAAACCTTTATTATTATTTTGTTCTTACTACTGTCACCAGAAGGCAACTGAATTACTGAATTAACATGTGCCAGGCTCTCAACACAGCTCCCGCGGGTGTTAAGGAATAGTACGCAGGTCATGCAGTGAAACCCACAGCAACCTCTGTAAGCAGCACTACCCCTCCTGTTTCACAGAACAGGGTAGTGAAGGGCACAGAGGTGCAGGCCACGGCCGTGTGGCTCAGCCATCGGACTGAGCCTGCTCTGACCCTTTACACTGCATGATTATACTCAGACTGAACAATCATTCACAACCTCAAGTTGAGAGAACACTTAAAAAGGACATCACAATACAATACAGAGATAACAACATGTTCTTCCCTTCATGTGCACATGTGTATAGACAATAACACTGCCTAAGTAGTAGAGCAATTAGTCATGTATGGGTGACATTTTCCTTGATGATATAAAGACTCAATTTTCCTAATAAGTAATGAGGAATTACATTTCTTTTTTCTGGTCCCCAAGCTTCAATTTTACTCTTTCGCTCCTCAAGCATTGATTGTCATTAAATTCTTTTTTAAGGTGAAATATTTTTTTTACAGAGTTTAATTAAAAGTCAGAACTCTAAATTAACAGCCCCTCCATGAAGACATTAAGCGACAAAGAAGTAAATTATACCAAAAGACAGTAAGTATTCAAATGATAACTTATTTGACTTTGACATGCCGAGGCAGCCATACAATCATGATAAAACTTAACTGTATCAAAGATTTGTATATACCAGTAAGAAAATAATTTATGGTTCAATTTATAACAATTTACACTATTCTCTATTCAACCATTTTTAAGATATTCTGCATACTGCATTAGGCAGTATCAAGTTGTAAGTGTGTTACCCAACCATTTAGCCCCTTCTCCCTCTTGCCTGTCTTCTTTGGCCCAGGTCCCCTCTCCTACCTTTCCCATGCAAATGCTCAAGACCTCTTTCTTCCCTCCCACACGTACGTCAAGCCATGCTCTTCTGGCTCCTACCCCCATCACTCCACAGAAACTATCTTCGTTAAGTTCAATAATGATCCTAATGGCAACAGATCTCATGGACCTTTTTAAGTGGATGTCATATTTAGCTTTGCTAATATTCAAACAGTGGCTTACATGCATCCTCAAAATGCCCCTTTCCCCTGGCTTCCCAGTCCCAGCACTACCACTTCCTGCTACTTACTGTAGTTTCAATATATATATGAATATATACACATACAATGTGATTTTTTAGGGTGTAAAATGTGATAAGTTTATATACATATACATTGTGAAATGATTATCACAATCAATCTATCCATCATCTCAAGTTAATTACCTTTTTAGTGTGGAGAACACTTAGGATCTACTCTCTTATCAGATTTCAAATATACAATTATGGAAACAGTATGGTGTTTCCTCAAATAATTAAAAATGAAGAAAAAAAAAGAATAGAGAAAAAAGGGAATTACCATATAATCCAACAGTCCTACTTCTGGGTATCAATCCAAAAGAAATGAAATCAGTATCTCAAAAAAGATATCTGTACTCCCATGTTCACTGCAGCATTTATTCACAACAGCCAAGAGATGGAAATAACCTAAGTATCCACTAATTGATGAATGATAAAGAAAAGGTAAGATACATGTACTTTAATTCTTTTGCAAGCTCATCTTCTTCAAATTTCTCACTAAATGACATAAATCCTCAAAAACTGGTCCAGGTCTTTTTCTTTTTTTACTGTGTCCTCTCCTAAGGCAATCTCATCATCACCAAAACCTTTCCTTACCACCTATATGTATGGGATCATAAAATTCGTATCTTCATCCCAGATGTTTTCTCCAGACTTTAATAACTTTGTGAATACATGGCATATCCAATTAACTCTCTGAAAAACACTTAAAATGTCAACATGTCCAAAACTTGCTTTTGATTTCTCCATGTTTCTGCCTTCCTTCCAGCACCCCCTCCCAGTGAGGGCACCATGATCGTCCATATAATCAAGCCCAAAACCCAGGAGTCACCCTTCATCTTACCCTCTCCTGCACCCTCACATCTACTTCATCTCACCCACCAAGTCCTACTCATTTCAATTCCTAAGACATCTATAATCAGTCTACTCACACCAACGTCATTGCTCCGCCTACTTTGAGCCACCATCTCTTCTTACTAAGAGCATGACAATAACTTCCTAATTGGTCTTCTCACATCCATGCCTGCCTGTTTCCAATTCATTCTCCTAACTGCACTGAGTGAAAACACGTCTGAACATCTTATCTCCCTGCAAACTCCTTGCAACAACTGCTTGTTGCTCTTAATACAGATTAACATCATCACCACAAACTTCAAGACACTGGTAGGGTTTGGTCTCATCCGTCTGTCCAGCACCATGGTCCCCACACTTTCAGCCACACAAACGTACACCTTCTGCCACAGGGGCTTTACATATGTTATCCAGCAGCCTCGGACGCTCCTCCACTGGTTTCACCCTTCAGATCTTAGTTCATGCAGCCCTTCCTCAGGAAGCTTTCCTAACTCCAGACTGCACCCAAACCCCCCATTACACACACACTTAAAGCACCACGTTCATTCCTTCATAACACGTCAGACAGACCATCTGACATTACCTGGTGTGAATACTTGGTTAATGTTTTCTTCTTTAACTGCCCTAAGTTCCACTAGGCAAAGACATAAGCTATGCTTTTGCTCACCATTATATTTCTACTGCTTGCGTAGCTCCTCACACATGCTGAAGTCTCATCGTGTTGAATGAGAAAATGACAACTCAAAATATAGTCCCAATTAGAGAGATGGTGGAGTAAAAAAAAAAAACACAAAAAAAAACTAATACCACTCCCATACATAAAATGCCCAGTCAATAAATACATATAATATTTCAAAAATAACATCAGCTGTATAATTCTAAAAAGAGGCTCTAAGATCCGTGTTCTAGTGGCACGATGTATCAAAATGAATCAAAATCATCTCGCAGAAGTGAGGTTAAAATTGCCCAGGAAATATATGGACTGCTCATTTTTTATTGATTTAAAAGTGGTAACAACATTTTAGCTAGATTTCTCTGGGCTCTTGCATAAACTTAGTTACTATTTAATAACCCAAGAAGGATCCAAAATAGCACCTAGCAGCTTTGTAATATCGCCAAGTTTCAGTCCCTTTTTTTTTGCTTCCCTGGTTTCTAGGCAGAGATTCTCAGTGAGAGAAGACACGATGGGAACCAGTCAGCAAACAGTCCAACCGCTCCCCCATAGATTCACTAAGACGCCCAAATTATAGGAGCTTCTTGAAAGGATGTTAGATCCTGCTAGGTCAGTGTGACATTCTTGTCACACAATATTTATTAGAATCCTGTTTTAACACTCTCAGTAGACTATTCGATTTAAATATCCAAGGACTAAATAACTTGGGTTTAAACAGGGACTATTCTTTTTAAAGTATCCTTAGAATAACTTCTAAAATGTCAGAAGTTATTGAAAATGTAAAGTGAATCTGGATACTATGTTAAAAATAAATTTCAATACAACTAGTAATCCTTGTAATATTAACACAAACATTTAAAAGTTAATAAACATTGTCGGAATAACTGAAAACATTATTAATACCATAAAACTTAAAAGTGAAAATTTAAAATACGTAACTGAGAGAGACAGACAGAGACAGAGAGACAGAGACGCGAGGAGGTGCTGGGTGCTGTCCTCACCTGCGCACCCAGGTCATTGTAGAGCACCTTCAGAGAGGTCAGCTGCTCGTCCATCTCCTTGGGGTTGTCGGTTTGCTGCTTCTGAACAATGTGCCTTCCTGTTTTGATGACAGTCTCCACCTCAAGCTTGACTTCACTTAGAGTTTTATAGAGTTTCTTAAAAAGAAAACGAGACACATCATACACATCACAGTGAAAACCTGGTAACTGGGATCATTTCCGAACACGGCTTACACAGATTAACGGCTATGAATTAAGTATGGAGATCAAAGGGCTTTATCTTTCCCAGATCTGGATTCAAAGGACGAGGAAAATGCCATCAAGGTTGCAATAACTTTTTTAAAGCAGAGAAGAAAATAAACAAATAGAGATTCTATCTCCCTTACCCTTCCTTTCTCTGTGAAATCAATAAAGAAAAAACATTTAAAAATAAATGAATAAACTTAGATGTGTATTTTAAGTTTCTGAATGTTCATGAACATTTTTCCTACATGGAATGTGAAAACATCAGGACTAAAAACTGAATGTCTATCATTTGAAAAATTACGTTTTAAAAAATCCTGATGCGATTACTAGACAAAAGCTAACTCTGGCCATATTTCTGACTGCTGGAAATTGGAAGTATGTATTAACGTTCTTTTTTTATTCTTCTTATAATTTCTCCAAAGCACCACATCTACCAACATCAGTACATATCACTTATATAAATGAAAAGACATATGACAACTCAAACTCTCAAGATGAAGATGACTATACGAAATCAGAGGTACACAAGACAAATTCAGAGCTGTCCTCATCCTAGTTACCTTGAAACCAAAACCATGTATTTTGTACAGGTTCTCTTGTCTCCATTGGTCGTGATCCTAACTTGAAACATTTCACGAGGCTCTGTCACATAATAACAGGCCACTGGACCCAGTTACACATGGGTAAGGATGGTGCTTGCTTTGCTGACCTCCATATCTCAGTAAATACATGTGTCTATGCATGCGTGCATACACACACACACACACACACACACAGAGAAATTTATCCTATCTATTCATTCTTCCACCTGTTTTAGCTTTGAGGAGTCCAACAACCCTAGGTATGTAACAGCCATGTGGAGATGACAGTTCTGAACCCACACAGAACTCTTCCCAGACTTTTCTGTCTTAACAAGTTTCTCTCATGAGTCTTCTCAAGCAGAACATGAATTCTAAGATTGTGTATGCCTAGCCAGATATTTAAATTTATATGAAATTGAAGTTTAGAGTTCAAGATTACAATAGTAATAAGGCCTTCTAAATAATTTATTCTTTCATATCCTAGGTTTAAACTTAAATGCAAAATTAATTTTCCTAGAGGATGATTTTTTCTGCAATAATATTCCTAACATCTCTCTAATCTCTTCTTTCATATTTTAGGCTTAAACTTTATGAAATTTAACTATCGTTAGAATGATTTTTTTTACACTGTAATATTCCTAACATCCATTCTAAGTATGGTTCTTCTGGCTAACTCAAATTTTATCCTTTAAATGTTAATTTAGTAGTTATATTCTGCCAAAGTCTTTTCTAACTTCATACTGTGATTACAATGTGTTTCCTTATCTTATGACACTGTAATAATTGATTTTATTCTCTCCTACCTATCTCTCCTATCTCTTCTAATTTTCTTGGAGGAAATGACCACAATTCTTATTTTATAATCCATTTTTCATCATTGATCCCTATTATTAGCACACTGTGGACAAACAATTACTGAACAAACCATGCACATTATGCCAGATGAAGCCGCATTAGCTGATGGAAAACCACGGGCGGCCTCACCATGCACTTGTCCAGGTGGGTCTGGATGACGTCGGGGTCCACGTCCTTCACGTTCAGGACGTGCAGCTCTGCTTTCACGCCGTCCAGCACGCGCTTGCAGTCAAGCATGCGCTGCTCGAAGTTAGCGGGCTTCTGAAAAAGCTGGAACTTCGTGGACACCTCTCGAAGTTTTCTCTGTTGGAAGAAATGAAAACAACACGCAATTCACATCAGAATGAACATCTCTCTCAGCCAACGTATTAGTGGAACAGAGACTGCTAAAAAGCTGCAAAAATAAAGCACCAATAAAAACATTCCGAGAGGTTACCCACAGGGTCATCACTTACTTGGCACCCAGAGTCTCAGTCTTAGATATAATGAAAGGCCCAGCTGGCCTCGCTGGAATGAAAACCTCGTTCATTTTTCTCACCTGTTCTAAAAATAGAGTCAAGCACCTAGAACTCAAAATGCTCTTCATCGTGGGATCAGAGTAGAAGTCAACCTCTCGCCCTGGCCGGTTTGGCTCAGCAGTTAAAGGGTCTTCCCGTGGACCAGAGAGTCCTGGGTTCGGTTCCCACTAAGGGCACGTACCTCGGTTGCAGTTTGTCCCAGCCCCAGTTGGGGTTGTGTGGGTGGCAGCCACTCGATGTGTCTCTCACATATCAACGTTTCTCTCTCTTCCTCCCTCTCTCCCTCCTGCTCTACCTGAAGATACATGCAAAAATGTCCTCGGGTGAGGATTTAAAAAACAAAAAAAACAAAAAGAAGTCAACCTGAAAGGCTCACCAAGCTAACCCTAAACCTCGCTCGCTATCTCTTCTCAACTACAGAATCCCATTCGGTGTTCTCCACCTGTGCAACCGGCTTCCGCCACTCTGCCCAGGGCAATGCCTCCATCCAGTCCACTGTTCGCATCAAAAAGAAGACCAAGGTCATCCAAGTAATCACTCCCCACACACAGCTCCCCCCTCACCTGCAGGACGTCCATCTGACTGCCTCCTCGGGTGGTCCTGCCTTCTGGGGAGGTCGGAGGCTGAGAGCGCGTGTTTCTTCTCAGCTCCTCTAGCGTTAGCTCGTGGGCGGAGATCTCGGCTTGGATTTTCTATAAGGAGATTAGAAGGGGGGTGTCTTTTCTTAAAGTTCCCCAGAGTCATATAATACATAAGAATATGCCGCTACCTGCACAGCTTTAGTGAGTTTGCATTATAATAATAATAACATGGGCTACTATAGACTGCACACAAACTATGGTCCTTACATTTGTCGTTTCTAATGTCCACCACTTACTTATGAAAAGGAATTTTCCCAATCTCATAGCTGAGAAAGCCATCATTTAAAAATGGTGGCCATTAGCCCTGGCTGGTTTGGCTCAACGGTGAGAGCGTCAGCCTGTGGACTGAAGGTTGTGGGTTTGATTCCCGGCCAAGGGCACACACCTGGGCTGCAGGTTCAATCCCCAGCCCTGGCCAGGGTCATGCAGGAGGCAACCAAGTGATGTGTCTCTCTCACATGGATGTTTCTCTCTCCTACTCTATCTGAAGATAAATGGAAAAATATCCTCAGGTGAGGATTAAAATAAATAAATAGATAAATAAATAAAAATGGTGGTCCTTTACCAGGGTTTCATAAAGACCAAGAGAACACAGAACCTCACATGCTGCCCCATAAGTTACGTGAAGTTAGACAGCCTTTCTCACAGGCGGTCTGTCTGGGATGCGGAGGGGCTGGTTCTCTTGCAGGTGAAGAGGCAGTTACATGTACGCTCCGTACGACTCAGACGCCTCAGCTCCACGGCAGTACCTGAGCTTCCTGCGGAACTTGGAAGGCGTCCACCCTGTCAGTCAGGTACGTGGTGAGCTGCTTGTCCAGCTCCCCTAAACTCTCCTGCAAAACTTGGAGCATGTGATCAGCTTCCCGCAGGACCTGGAGGTGCTTTTCCAAAGAAATCTGCTTGCTCTCTGCCTACACAGGGGATAAAATTGAATCATCAGTCACTCAGCACAAATATAAATAGCTGAATACAAGAAAACCCTTATGTTCCGGCCACCAAGAAAAGAAACAGAAGCTCTAGTTCACGACTTTGGCCTGCAGTGTAAATAAATAACTAGCAATGATAACAGTGAAAGGCCCTTCTAGCATCTCATATACCTTGCAGTGAATTATTAGTTTTTACTTCTTTCTACACACAATAACAATATATAAAAAGGTAAAATTTTCCTATATAACCTGCTAAACAGAATAAAAATTTGTCATTTATGATAAATTTAGGGTGTTCTTAGGAATCAGCAATAAACCTATCAACAAAAATATAAAATACAAAAAATATATCAGTAGAGTGAACATATGAATCTTTTTTCCAAAGTCTAAAACAAGTTCCACAAACGTGCCTGTTTTAAACTACTACTTGCTGCACTTTTGAATTAAGCTTGATTCTATTTATGATCTCAACATCAACAGTTATTATTTAATGTTCTTTAATATCCACCCAACCCTCCTGTAAAAGAACAGTCTCCTTTCTCTATGTAGGGATAAGAACATGCATGTTGCAATGCATTTGGGTGTGTGTCTAAAACAGGATGGCATTTTATAACAGCAGCTTAGGTCAAATTCTGCTAGCTCTAATATTTACTAGGATAATATGAGTTATCCTCATATACAGCTATAATATGATCCTTAAAGGAAATTAAAGAGTTCATAAGTAGAAACCATCTCAAAGACAGATTTTTTTAATCATGACGTTCTGCCTGCCTCATCAGAGTTAGGTCTACTTTTCCTCAGCTAGTGTCTCAAAGCTCTCAACCCCCCAGTTAATGCTGGTTACCAACTTTTCCCCGTGGCAGAAGTTCTTGAGCTCAGCTCCATGTCACAAACACCTCATCTACACGCATGCATGTCCCAGTTCTTACCAGGTGACTCAGTTCTTCATACCGACTGTTGAAAGCCTCCAGTTTCTCACTGATGATGTCATCGAGGATCCCTCCATCAATCAGGGTCTGGCCAAGTTCCCGAATTTGGGTGCGATTATCTGCTGGGTGTCGCAAAACAGATTCCAGAGACTGGACAGGAACCGGGGGGGAAGACAATGCGTTTACTGAGGCAGAATGCATCAAGCATACAAAAGATGTCCTCTTTTGTTTTTTAGCAAGTAATTCAATTTTCTAGAAATCGACTTAAGGAACAAGACTAGAAATAATTAATTTGCAAAAATATCTGTCATGGTATTAAAAATACATAAAATTGAGAACTTGGCATGAATGATGATATATAATAATATAACTCCATTAATTTCAATAATTATTAATTACATGAGAAAATGTTCATGGTATGATACAAGGTTTGAAAGCAGAAAACAATATTGTAAAGCAAAATTATCTCAAACTGTTGATTATATCATTAAAACTGTGTACTCAGTTTTCCATAACACAACAGAAGGCTAGGCACTGTTTTATATACACCAAATATATATAAATCTAATCAACCACAGGGTTAAATATTGTTTCATATTACAGGTTGGAAAACTGAAGTTCAGAGAGTTTATTTGCCTATATACACACAGTAAAAAGAAGAGCTAAGATTCCAACTTGACTCTAAACCCTTATAATTTCAAAGCCTTTGATCTAGTTACTATAATGTACTACCTTCCAGCCCATGTGTTAATAATAATAATTAAAGAGAAATATACCAGAATGTTTATCTTAGAGTTTACTTTATACTTTTCTCCATTTTCCATTATTTCTAGAATGCACTTTTTGTTGTTCTTGTTAATCCTCACCCGAGGATATTTTTCCATTGATTTTTAGATAGAGTGGAAGGGACAGAGGGAGGGAGGGAGGGGGAGAGAGAGAAACAATATACAAGAGAGACACATAGATTGGTTTCCTCCCCCAGGACCCTGACTGGAGCCGGGGATCAAACCTACAACTCAGGTACCCACGTGCCCCTGACCAGGAATAGAACCTGTGACCCTTTGGTCTGAGGGCCTACACCTAACCACTGAGCCAAACCGTCCAGAACTACAATGCATATTTTAATTCTCGTGTTAGGAAAATTCATATTTTAAAATTAAGCTCTTTTATTTTTATTTTTTAATTGCTCTTCATCTCTCATTCTGCTGTCTTACTTGAGGAGTGACATCTTTTATCCAACGCAGCACCCAGCTCCTGGAATTTAGGTACCACATCTGACTTACTCCTGACCTTCAATCCAGTCATCCACTTACTTGCCACATGTCCCTGCAATTTTCAAAAGCACACCTATCCCCTTCCTCCCCTATTTTTTAAAAGCAAATCTAAGATCTTCTATTTAACCCATTTAGGGAAGTTACGAAGTCATCGTGCACCACGTGCTGGGCTGCTTACTGCGGAGCAAGAAAACTCAGGTGCGTTTCTTTGCCTCGAGGAACTCGAGCCCAGGCCTGGAGACAAGCTCCTAGGACAGGATCCACCCTTCTCATCCTGCCCTCCCCAACCTGCCCTCCACCTCCACGTCTGAAGATAACAGAGAGCCACTGTAAACACAGTTGTTGCCGTGTTTAATGAGCAAAAATTACTTTACGAAGAAATAAGAGAGCAATTATCCTAATAACATATGGCAGAGTTTTACTCAGGGACTGGCAAAAGGAAGCTGGAAAATCACTGGAGTGCTTTCTGATGTCTAAAATGTACTTATTAAGCCCTGGCTGGTTTTGCATCAGCCTGTGGACTGAAGGCCGTGGGTTCGATTCCCGGCCAAGGGCATGTACCTGGGTTACAGGTTTGATCCCCAGCCCTGGTCAGGATCATATGGGAGGCAACTAATTGATGTGTCTCTCTCACATCGATGTTTCTCTCTCTCTCTCTAGCCCCCTCCCATCCTTCCACTCTGTTTAAAAAAAAAAATGTACTAATTAACTAACAACTAACCACCTCAGGAGGCTGTTAGTGGGTCACCATTAATCTGAATATATACGATGGTGCAAACACTTCAGGCCATGGAAGACAACACAAGTCCCACTGAGAACTGCCGAGGGAGCGAGTGCGTTCGCTGGCCTGAGGCAGATGCTCCTTCTCTACGGGGAACACCAGGGATAAGGGGCGACGCAGGCGCCCACCTCCAGGGCCTCGCTGACGGCATCCACCTTCTCCGGCAGGGCCTCTGTGCTCCGCATCCGCTCCTCCAGCGTGTTCAGCCAGGTGGTCTCCAGGTCCAGGTAGTGGAGCAGTTCGATCCAGCAAGACCACACCTCCTGTGGGGGCAAGAAGACAGTGATTCAGCTGCGCAGCCACTTGGAGACGCGTTACCGCCACTGCTTCCCATTCTCTCTAATCGACCGTCATTTCATCAAATATGAGCAGAGATGAGATTTAGAAACTGACGAAACGGGAATTTCAAATGAATGACAGAAAACCTCAGTCTTTAATAAATCGCAGTGACCCACAGGAGGCACACAACAACAGGTGAGGAGGATAGGGCTGCTTCGCTCTTCCTGTGAAAATAAATTCCAAGGGTCTGGGTAAAAGTCAAAAATAAACTGTATCATTGGTAGAAGCAACCGGGAGGAAAATAGTGTTCGTTGGTTTTTTAAATAGAAAGATAAAAGCGCTCCTAATTGCAACACTTTCTGACAGTTACATAGAAAACTGGAATTCCGTGGGTCCATCCGAGTCCGACTCAGAGCTAACGGGGGTAACGGTGTGCTGTATACTTTCTCCAACTCTTTTCTAAATCCATGTGGACATGTCCACATATGCAAGGAACCGTATTTTACCCAAAATGGAGGGATACTGTACTCATTCCCCATCCCAGTGGGCCTTTCGGGGTGGGGGAAGCCCCTTCCCGCAGGGGGGAGCCTATCTGATGGCTAATCCAGGAGAGAGCTCCCTGTGGGCTCCGCTGACTGACAGAAGGCACCCTGCCTGCATCCCCAGGGGGCTGTGTTTAGCAGGTCAGGGGTCAGCAACTTTATCCATGAAAGGCCAGACAGTAACTATTTTAAGTTTAACAAGCCACGTCTGGTCTCTGCCACAAAGTCTTCTGTTTACTCTGTGTGTGTGTATGTTGTCTGTCATTAGCAACCCTTGAAAAAATTAAAAATATACAAACCATTGTTAGCTCAAGGGCTATAGAGAAAGAGGCAGAAACCAGATGGGACCCTCGGGTTATACTTTGCCAGCCCTTGACTAAGACTAAAAGAGAAGAGATGTGCCTGGTCCCCCAAATCTCTACAGGTGGGAAGCAGCCAGAGGAACCTGTTTTGTGGAAATAGCTCTCTGAACAGCTCTCAGGAAGCCGAATTGGTCCCTCGTCAGGTGACAGTCCTGCCCCTGGGTAGGGCCCTGGCTGGATTTCAGAATCTAGGCACTGGTACCAGTGACTGCTCCTTACCTTCCATTCTGTAGAACCGAGTGCCCGCTGAGTTTTCCCACGCTAGCTCGCCACTGTCTGTGGGTATAAGGGCCTGCACAGGAAGACACTGCCCTGAGAAGCCACATTTGTGTTCAGACCTGATGCTGGATTTCGAGCTTGATGCTACACTGGATGAGACTTTGGGAGTCCCTGGGAGAGCGTAAGGGCATTTTGCACGTGGGGGGACTGCAACCAATTTAAGACCAGAGCGTGAAGTACGGTGGATTAACAACGGCCACAAATGTTTCGTTCTTACTCCCAGTAAGTGGTGAGATTCTTTCCTCCTGCCCTGGAATCTGGGCTGCCCTTGTGACTTGCTTAGACCCAAAGAATGTTACAGATGTAACCCTGTGTCCAAATGCAGACCCTGCCTTTAAGAGGACTGGAAGCTTCTGCGTTCTCCCTCTTAAAAGTCAGCTGCCATCCTGTAAACCTGAGACCACGTGGATCGACCTGGCGGATGAGCGGCCACCGTGAACGTTCTGCTGAGCTCCCTGTGGGATGCAGCTACCTGAGTGAAGCTATTCATGTGGCACATGGAGCAGAAAGCCGCCCAGCTGAGCCACATCAGCCACAGAACCATGAGCAAGGATAAATGGTGGCTTGTGTTAAGTTCCTACTTTTTGGTGAGGTTGTTACTTAGCAACTGGTAATAGACATAAGTGGGCATATATATTAAAAATATAAAAACATGGTTAGAAAGAATATACGCCAATTTCTGGATAATGATTCCTTCAAGAGAGAGATTGTATGGGATGGAAAAAAAGAAAGAGGTTCTGCAATACTAATTTTTTGTTTGTTTGTTTTTATTTTAAAAACAAGATCTGGAAAAATATGGCCAGAAATTGTTATTGCTAAAAAAAAAGTCTTAGTAGTATTAGCTCTTCTCTTCTATAAAACTGAAATATCCATGATTTAACACATTTTAAAAGAGTCTAAAAATAATCAAGGTCATAAAATTGGACTCTTCCGAAGAAAGGCATTTTTACTCTAATTTAGAAATTTGGGCTATTTCTGCCCAATATCCCTTGGCAATCTCTGACATAATTTAAAAGTATTTCCATTTTTTGAACCTCCTTCTCCTTTTTTGCATTTCTCATTTCAAACATACCAAGGTCTCATCTTTTCTCTTTCACCTGTATCGTTTTTTCTTGCATGTTTCCTTCTCTCCTGTCCAAGCACTTCTCTCAAACTAATTTCAAAGTAATTCTCAAAGCAATTCCAAACCCTCAAAATATGTATTTCATTCCTCATTTTCAAACTGTCACCTCGGGGTAGAGAGCTTGAAGAAATGTCACACTACATGGTGGTCTTTAGTTAGCTTGGGGTAATTTGGGGACTCCATTCATTATGTAAAAATAGTCTGGTTTTTATTTTGGCTAGAAATAAAGAGGAAAACAAAAAGGAGGGTCATCAGGGGTGCTTATGCCAGAGAAGAAAACATTCAAAAAACTAGTCAAGTTCTAATCCGAGGTTGTTCACCAGGATTTAAGATGACACATACGTAATAGTATATGATTTTAACTGCTCAAATGTGTTTTATGTTACATAATATATTACAAAGCATGAGGTTTTGTTTGAGTTGTAGCTTTCTTCTTAACTAGTCTCAATTTTCCATGTTTATCTTACCACAAAATAGTTTCAGAATAAGCAAGTAATGACTGAATTCAGTTTAAATGTTGCAGTTGTGGTGTTTAGCTTTTTAGGATTTACCTCCTTAAACTATGTATTTGAAGTTGAATTGAATTTAAATTGAAGTGCTCCTTCTTCAATAAGATACAAAAGTCACACTAATATAAAAACAAATAAGCAAGAAGTTAATTTTTTAAAAAACCTCATAGAATCATCTACATCATAAACCCAATGGCCTGGGGCAGGGTGGTGGGGGTGGGGGAGGTGTCCAGCAAATTACCAGTATGTTCCAAGTTCTGCTTTCCTTCAGGTGACTCTAACTTTGGATAAAAATTTTTTAAAAACCTCAATTCATGTCTGTGCACTAACCAGGCAATACAAAACAAAAGAGATGTTCACAGTATTGTTCTAGAATTTTAGGACTGGAACGGACCCTACATATCACCTGTGATATGGAACCTTGATTTCACATATAAAAAAAATGTAAAGTCTGAAGATATTAAATTACTTTCCCAAGAACCTTCCATTCATTGGGGGCAGATCTTGGTCTCCTATATTTTTTATCCTTGCTTCATTTTATCAACCTATTAACCAAGAACTACTTTTCCTTGATGATCCGGTACTTTTAAAAAATGGATTTTTTTCCAAGATCTGGAAATGGTCAGTACATAATAGAGTTTTCATCTCAGAAATGCATCACTGAAAAAAATAACATACCTCTAGCGTGTGACACTTTCCTCGAATTCTATTGCAAAGAAGTTGGTAATTCTCCAGCACAACGTTCAGCTCAGATGTCAATTCCTGGCCACCAGAGGGCACTTTTGTAGCCAATAACTTGATGTTGTCCTTCAGAATCTTCACTCTCACCTCCTTCTGCAACACATCCTCTTTCGCCCTCTGTTAGAAGAAAACAGCCTTGAAAACTGTCTCTCTTTCTCACTAACCAATGTCTTTAATTTTCTAAAATAACTAAACCAAAATTAACAGGACTACATGATTCCAACCATCTAACTTGGAACATTATTTAGGTAATCACTAGAGTGCTTTCCACATAAGAATGCTAACTATAAAATCTCACTCATTGTAGGCCCCATGTACACAGTCCCACACAAACATTTTAGTTTAATAACAGGCAACATTAACACCTAAGTCATCCTAAGTTACATTCACTGACATGAAGTATTTTCGAAATCTCAGCCCATGATAAGAATCTAAATGAATTCATTGTAATTGACCACTAGAGTTCTGAGCACATCAGACTGAAGTAAATAAATGTTCACAGACGTTGCAATGCACCATGGTAGAGGCACCCTTTAATAATTATTCAAAGGTATTCTTCTCTCCTGGGACATAGGTACATCCGTCCTTCTGGTAATGAACAGCATTTCAAAGATGATGACGTTATACTAGGAAGAGCTGATCTGGAAATAGCTTGTTTCCTGACTCTCCCTCCGCATTAAGGACAAAGTCTTACTTTCAGGAAAATCAACCCAACACAGCCTTTCACGTTCTCTGTCAGCTTTCTCTACTGCTGAATGGTTTCAGGCTTTCCTGGGCTGGACAGAATGATCGAGTGTAATGGTTTTTAAAATCCTAACAGTTGATTGGAAGAATGAAAATAAATAGTGTTGCCCAATCAAGGGTGCTAATCTTATTTTTCTAAACTCTCACCCCTACAAACTTTAATAAACCACAAGGCCACAAATGCCAATAGTGTACAGAAAGAGAATAAATGAAATAAGATGGTTCTTAACATTACAGGCTACCTTTAAAATACCTTATATACTAAATATTTTCAAAGCTTTCTAAAAAGGCTACACTAAAAAAAAAAAAAAGTGTTTCCGTGAAAATACTGCCAAGTACAATAGAAGTCTTTTGTCATCTTTACTTCTACTCATATACAATCATGCATGGATGAATTCTAAATTTTTTTAAATATATGCGCAGAGATTTTTGCTTTAGTTACATTTTTAGGCCAGTTAACTCCGGCCTAAAACATTCAATGTGTTGCTTAACCTTATTTTTTAAAATAGCCTTGAGTCACTATCTCCTTTGGCTTGAACACTGAAGAGACTTGAAGCAGCATTAGAAATTTGGGAATGATGCCCAGTTCTTTTTATTATATTAAAAAAGAAGAATGTTCAAGACTATTGACACAAGAATGATAAGTTCATAGGAAATATATCCTGTGGCCCAACCAACATTAAATTCCGACAATGTGCTAACTGCCCCTCTGCCTGCTCTAACAAAGTGTTTCTCTTTACGTGTGCCCCACGCGGTGGCGGGAAGAACACATCTGATGAAATAAGGATAAACCCCAACCAAGTTGAAAGTCTTTCTTGTTACTAACAAAATATAATGCCTACTGAAACTCTCAGAAATAGCAGTGATGGTTGCACAACAGTGTGAATGTGGTCGATGCCACTGAATTTTTGAGTCATTCTCTGTGACTCCCCACAGTTCTAACACGAAAACATCTCAGGGCCCGTCATGGATTCAACCCATGGGACACGTTGAACTTCCTTTCCCTACTAGAATAGTAGCACGCCTTCCTTTGTTATTTTTTTTTAATTTGAAATCCTACTATGAAAAATTACATGTACAGTTAACTCTTGAACAACGCAAGTGGAGGGTATAACTTTTGACTCCTTCAGAACTTAAACTACTAAGAGCCGACTGTTGACCAGAAGCCTTACCAATAACACAGACAGTCAATGAACACATATTTTGTATATTACATGTAATTATGGAAGAGAAAAGGAAATGTTTTTAAGAAAACCACAGGGAAGAGAAAATACATTTACAGCATTCATTTGTAAAAATCCATGTGTAAGTGGCCCCGCGCAGTTCAAACCTGTGTTGTTCAAGGATCAGCCGTAGAATCCCGATTTGCAGCAAGATAGAAGGTGGATGACAGATTTTACAGGAGGAAGGGGGAGAGGAAGCCCACAGGCACGGACGGTCAGCCTCACCTTCATTTCCTCCACAGCACTCTCAAGTTCTTCCGGTGACTTGTACTCAAAATCCCTCTCCAGGTTCTCTTCCTCCGCCTGAGCCATCCACTCCTGCATCTCTGCCAAGTCTTTCTTCAAGTTCACCACCTTCTCCTGACTTTCGGACAACCTGTTTTTCTGAATGGCAATCTAGAAGAGAAAGGCCATGTACCCAAACAAACGAGTGTTAGTACGGTTCCTGATAGCTAAAGGCACAGGGATAACTTCCCACGAAGAGCCTGCCGTTCTCAAACTCAGATGAAAACTTTTACACATTTTTCTGCTGGTGTTCTGAAATCTAAGCAATAGTGAAAACAATAATTATAACTGGGACTCGAGTTCACATTTTGGATAGTAATCTAATCTGGCAATATTTACTGTAATTTTGAAAATGCATAACATTTTGGCAAAGAAATCCCAAATGAAGGAATCTATCCTACAGCAATAAAAGCACCTATTTCAAGGAAATTTTCCACAGAATTGTTTAAAAAAACTCTGAATGTAACCAAATCCATCTTCTCCCTTGTAGCAGGATTCTCCATTAAGATTTCACTTTTTAAAGCAAAGAGGAGGAGGCTGCTAATAAAGATGTTCATAAAACACCACTCTACAAAATTCTGGTTTGGATCGTTTATTATACTTGTATATTCCACAGAGACACACACAAAAATGCATCAGAAAAAAAGGTATTTTTCTGAACCTGGCTCAATAGCTTAGTTAAAAATTTCAGAGAAGCTAAAATATTTTCAGAGAGATCCTCCCTCTACAAAGTCACTTTTCTGTGGGAGCGACACTGTCCACGGAGATCGCGCGCACTCACTATTCACGTCCCACTCAAATCCAATCTCCCAGCAGCGGTCACCTTGCCAGGGCCTGCTTGGCTGTGAAGCTGATGGGGACCAAAGGCCAGGACAGGAATAGAGAGCTCTTACGAGAGTAAGGGGCAAGACTTAGTGGCTCTTCTGTACCCGCTCTTCAACAGGATCACAGCCATAAAAATAGAAAGGGATCAAACAGGAGCTTTGATTTTGCTGCCAGCCTGGTACTATAAGAGCCGGTGCCAGCAATATGCACAGCCTTGGTCCCAAACCTAGCCGATCAGCAGTTTCATCCGGTCAGCTTTAAACACACACACACACACAGATTTCTTGGGCCCCACTTCCAGAAAATTATCTTCACTAGTACTTTCTAGACACTAGTTAGATTATCTTCATGGATCCATCGAGAAATGCAACAAAATAAAGACACTACCCAACTTTTCCAAAAAATGAAAAGCTCAAAATTATAATTAACTCCCTTGAAATTATAAATTTTCTATTTGCTGGCATTATAGTAGTCTTCTTTTCATGAGATCATGGATAAATATAATAGATGGCATAGACTGTTTTTCTGTTGTTCTTGATTGGTTTTATATGTTTGTCCTTTCTTAGTAAAATAAAAATCTGGCAGCATTATGCTTCTCTCAGACTTCTTCAACCTTTAGAGTCGTCCCTCGCCACTTCACGCTTCGACTTTCGCGGCTTCACTCCATCGACTCTATATAAATAAAGAATCCCACTTCGCGGAAATTCATTGATCGCGGTAGAGTCTGGAACTGATTGACCGTGATAAACAAGGGCTATCTGTATACAACTCAGTGAAATGCAATAATCTGGAGGCGGGCCACCTGCTGAGAATCCTTCAAAATGTCACATACAATTATTTTCATGCTTAAAATCAATAATAATTCATAATTAATTCTACGTCGTATATGTGTGTGTGTATATATGTGGACAGATGGAGGCAGGTAGACATAACCTGAATGCCTATATCTATGTCGATATATATATATGTATCTATCAACTTCCTGGCTCCTCATTGTCACTTCCAAACCATGTTCCCTACTTACTCTCCAAAAACCACATCCAAGCATCTACCATGAGATTATAGCACATTTAAAGAATTCCGAATTTGGCTAAATTATTAGATAATATAAAATACTTTCTCCAGTGTGATCATGGCATGGCAGTTTGTGTACGCATGTCTTCATTCAAGGAGGAGAATACAAAAGTATTTAGGGGGACAATAGCATACGTTCTAATCTCTGTCAAAAGTACATTTTTACCAAAAGCAAAGAAAAAGAGTGTGTGTGTGTGCACGCGCACATGTTTGTATGTGTGTGCACATGTGTGTATGTGTGTGCACGTGTATGTGTGCACGTGTGTATGTGTGCACGTGTGTGTGTGTGTGTGTGCATGTGCGTGTGTGCAAAGAGAGCAGGGGAGAAAGTGAGAACGTAAACGTGGTAACACATTAAAAACTGGCAAATTTAGAAATGGATGTGTGTCTGCTCCCTGTACCATCATTTCAACTTTTCTTTAAGGTTGAACATGTATAAATTATGGAATTCAGGAGGAAACCATAAAAAAAAAAATTCTCAAGGGTGCAAATACAAATATTTTTCTACATAAGCGTTAACCAAAAAACACACAGGCCTGTCTGTGAAATATCTCTGTATTTCACGTTTTCCCCTCTCATCTCTCACCCCTCTCCCACTCGTGTCACTACTGTCTCACTAACGAAAGAGAAGCGACCAGAACAGTGTCCCTGCCATCGCCACGGAGAAACCAGGCAACAGCTAGTCTTGCACTCAGAGAGTCACTCTCTCTCCCTCTCGCATAACCGCAGACTTCACGTCGGAAATTACGTTCTCAAGCGCTTCGGCATCGTTTTCTCTTGCAGGTGAGGTCCTTCCTTTCGGCATGGAAATTTCCTGCAGTATCTCTTACTTTTAAAAATTACCCATGTCCCCTCACCCATCCCCTTTCTCCGCTCCCTTGAATAGAGAAAACTCTCAGAGTTGGTTACACTGGTCTGGTCCTCACTTCCCTGTCTCCCCTCGGCGTTCTGCAGTGTCACCTTCTGCCCCGCCACATCCCTGGAGTCACTTTCTCGGGGTCTTAAAACGCCCCATAGTGTCCAGTCCAGAGCTTGTTTTTTAGCCCCCATCGGCCTGAGGCACCCTCAGCACTGGGCGCTGCGAGGACTTTCCCCAGCTGGCCGCTGGGACCTCACACCTCCTGGCATTTCCCCTCTGGCCAACCCTTCTTTCTCAGCATCCTTGGCCTCTGCCCCCCTCTTTCCAGAGGTCAGTGCCAGGTCTAATACGGATCTCGAGCTGGGCCATTCCAGGGTGGAAAGCATTGTGTCTCCTGGAGTCTCCCCCGTTTCAGTAAATGGGACCACAATTCCCATGAAGCAAATGTTTTGCAAAAATCCTAACCTGTCCTGGACTGCTCACTTTTTCTTCTGTCATACATCCAATCTGTTACTAGACTCATCTCTACTTGCAAAATACAGTCCAAACCTAACATTTCCTTTTTTAAAATATATATTTTATTGGTTTTTTTAGGGAGAGCAGAAGGGAGAGGGAGAGGAAGACAGAAGCATCAATCTGCTGCCTCCTGCACACCGCCTGCTGGGGATGGAGCCACAACCTGGGGGCTGGGGCCCTGATCAGGAATCGAACTGGTGATGTCTTGGTGCACAGGTCAACGCTCAATCTACTGAGCCTCACCGGCTGGGCCAAACCCAACATTTCTCATGACCTCCACCACTTTCTCCCTAGTCCAAGGAGCCAGCCTCTCCCTCTAAGACTGCAGGAAGCTCTTGCCATTCCAGAGCAAACTGTCCAGAGGGAATCCAGAGTGCTCCTCAAACACCTAACACGTGTCACTCCCTGCTCAAAACTCTCAAATTGCTTTCTGTGAGAAGTTATCCTTGAAATAAAATCCAAAATCTTTGTCTCCAAGGCCATATGCAATCCATCCCCAGCGACCTTCTCACCTCAAATCTCACCATCCTCCAACCCCCCAATTCCTCTGTTCCTGCTCTTCCAGCTGCAGCACCTTTCTCGTTCTTTATTAAACACACCAAGCTCCTTCCCCCTGAGGACCCAAACTGGACCGTTAGTACCCTCTCCGTTTTCAGACTGTATGGGCTATATAATCGATTTTCTCAATTTAATCCACCTCTTGAAAAACACACACAGTCAAGCTGAAAAACTTACCTCCCTGCTAAATTTCTCCAGCTGGGTTTGGTCGTCAACCAGTTTTGTCTGCACCCAGGTTTTGATCCCAGCAACTGGACAACTTCGAAGGTCATTCTGTACTTCCTTCATGTCCTTCAGCAATGATTCCATTGTTTCTATTTCGTTAACAAATGCCTAAACACATAAATCAAGCCCTTGTTGAGTTCATCCCTAAAGAAGTGTATGCCATAGGCAGAGCGTGTGTGCTTTTATCCCTGCAAATATTATAAAAACAGGCTGTTTGGGACTCCAAACTTCTACTGCTTTGGAACATGGTGACTTTAAAAATTCATTTTACCTGGGTGCTTCATCCAGCCATCTGCCAAATTAGACTGGAAATACTTGACTCTCAGTAGGAAATAGCACTTTTAATTAATTTAGAGAAGCCTAATGATTTCACCAAATAAAAATGGTATGGAGTATTATGTCAATTGTTAAATATGTTTTTCTTAAAGCTTCACCATGTGGCCCAGTGAGAGCTATATACAACTGGTAATTATGACACCGAGATTGTCATCACAACGTAAAATAGCAGCTCGTGTTCTCTCTAGACCAAATTCTATAACCACGGCCAGAAGTGAAATACAAATACTCAGTCGTTTTTTATTAACGGTAACGTCAAAGAAAGCTTCATAATGGAAGAAATTTTATCTTGGCTTATTGTCGTGTTGTATTCTTAGTGTCAATAATAGCTGCAGATAATGAAGGAAAAGAAGAGCTATTTATACCAGGAGGTGCCGAGGTCAGGACACTCACCGAGCACTGGCCGAGCTGTCTCTGCAGCCCTGCGGTGTCTCCGTGGGCAGCCTGCTCGTCCCTCAGGAAGTCCTTCACACCGTCCACCCACTTCCCGATGGTTCTGGAACCAGCCTGATCGAACACAATAGCAAAGGGGGTATTACTCAGTGACATCCAACCTGCTACAGCTCAAAATCTATTGCTGCTGGGGGAAAAAAGACAATTTTTCAAAACTTTGATAGCATCATTTTCATTTATTTTATTTATTTTTAATCTTCCAGTTTTAAAAATAATGACTTTCTTCATGAGTGACTACAGTCCCCAGGAGACAACAGTTCCTGGTCATTCTAAACATTTCAAAACACTGTCCAATGAAGCAAGCTATTTTGCCTAAATGTAAGCAATATCTATGATAAGAAATTCAAATTTTCTCAGTATAATCGGCTGAAGATCTTTTGTTCCTATATGACTTAGAGCAAATTTTCTCTGAAAGGGAGCTGCTCAAAGCAGAAATAAAGAGCTAGGTGGAGGGAATGAAACAGATTGCTCTTAGTTCTCCTGTTGGATGCTGTTATCTGAGTACCCGGGACAGCCCGCTGCCCAGCTCTGTTCTTTCATCCACGATTTACTAACACCCACAGTAGTCCAATGCTGTGTATGGTGCTGGGAGGTCTAAAACAAATAAGAAAGGAAATACTCTGTAGAAACAGACTTCAGAGAGGCAGTAACACTAGAAGTGGCTCTTAAAGAATGTAAACAAGTGGGTCCACTTTGGTCTTTAATACTGGAGTAAAGTAATGGTGGCTTCTTTCCAAGGCCTCCCATTCCATCATCGATCAGTCTGACTTATTAATGTCCCTTGTATTAAGCTGAGTTTGTTTCCATGTACCTTCCTCAATTCTCCGCTTCCCATCCAACCTGTGGACTGGAGATACATTTTCTATCCTTTTTAAAGATAACTTATGATTTTTAAAAAATATGTTTGTATTATTTATTTATTTTTTTTTTAGAGAGAGAGCTGACAGGAGAGGGAGAGAGAGAAATATTGATGAGAAAAAGAAACATCCATTGGCTGCTCCTGCACACTCCCTACTGGGGATTGAGCCCGCAACCCAGGCATGTGCCCCAACCAGGAATTGAACCTGTGACCTCTTGGTGCATGGGACCCTCCTCAACCAACTGAGCCACACCTACCAGGGTAAAATACCCTCAGATTGGAAGGGAACCACCATGTCTTCCCTTAGTCTTCCATTGGTTAAACATTCCCAATTCCTTCCACAATGTCTCTAGGATATGATACCCAGGAATTGCACTCCAATCAACACATTCTGGAAACTACATCAACTCTTTCATGTCCTTACAGTGTGCCACACAGAACTGAGTGTTCCTACAACGTTGGGATGAATGACAACAAGGGAACCTAACTGGTATTTCATGCGTGGGTAATTACACTCATAAAATGCCATCTAAAAGTGTTTATGTTTTATTTCCCTCAGGTAGGGTTGTTTTGTTTCTTTGTTTTTTATTTAATTGTTTATAGATGTATTACTCACAACTGTGTGGTTAGCTGAAACTCCAAAATTCCCATAACTTCCTCAAAATTACATTTCCCTTATCTCATACTACTTAATTGGCTTCTGTCGTAAATGCAGGAGTTGGTGTTTATAAACAATACACTCTGTCTTGTTAGTTCACAAAATGACTTGGACTTTTTCTCTCTCCACTTTCACATCAGCTAACCCTCTCTGCTCTCTCTAAACTGCGAATCTGAGGGTGAAGTATTCCTTTCCTATTGGGTTTTTGGAGAAAGTTGGTTTTTTTCCAGGTGAAAAGTGAGGTCAATGACAGTGCCCACCTGACATCCCTGCATGAGGACACCGTGGCACTCAGTACTAACAAGTTTTCGGCTTACTTTTCAAAATATGGGACTCCACCTAATGCTAGCTCCCACCTAGCTTCCAGCTCCCTTTAATAAGCTTATGAGAGATTTTCTCAAATACTTTACTGAAATCCTCCAAAAAATAAGTACAAGAAAGCAGTAGGTAAAGGAAGTGAGTCTGGGCCAGGCTTATCAGTGTATCCATGCTGACTCCTGGGACCGCACTGTCTTCCTCAGCACATCTAGATCTCTGGGCGGGCATTTATCTATATCCAAGAGCTGACATCAACCTTACTTCCGGTCTTTAGCTTCTAAAAACTAATGTTCCCCCTTAATTAGGACATCCATCCATCTCCATTTTTCTGGTAATTCCTCACAAAACACATGATGTGACCCTGAGATCAGGGGTAAGAACCCCATGTGACTTGGGTAAAGATTAGGCATCAAAAAGGCCTGGTAGTTTTCCATGGAACTAAGAAGCCAGGCTCTGGTGCGCACTCAGTCAGGGTCATTCCACACCTTCTGGTCTGCAGGCCGTTCTCTGGGGAAGATGGGAAGCAAGAGAGCTGATGTCCTGAGGCATTTCTGTCCTGATCATGTCATACCCCCCTGGGCAGGCACCTCCCCACCCCCCACAGCTCGGAAAGGCCTTTCCTCCCAGGCCCTTCCCTCTGTTCCTCCGTCAGCCACCCCGGTCAATAGGCCCAGGCTGCGATTACTCTGCCCTGTTACTTTAATTGGTGGCATCTCTCTTCCTTTATCAGCTCCAGCATTCTAGGCTCTTATCCCAGAAGAGTCTTAGGAAGCCCTGGTCAGGGGTGGGGGTGGGGTGCAGACAGAGTGCACAGAGAGAGAGTGTGAGAACACCCTGCGGGCTCCGTGAAGAACCTGGGCTGAAGCTGCTGCCCCTCCCCGCACGGTCCCCCTCCACTCTGAACTTTTTCAGGGGTCAAAGCTGCACTGCCGCTCTGCAACGGGCATTCAGTAAGTCCAGTTTTGGATAAGAAAGCCGGCAGTCTCCTGGGCCGAGGATTTTGACATTTGTACAGAAGCATGATGATGTTTTAGTCACAGCCGGCCTTCACAGGAGCCAGGCCTCGACGATCCCCGCCATCGGCGTGAGGGACACACTATGGCATCGACCCCATCCTTCCTCCCTGGCTCACACACGGGCCCCTGGGAGCACACCCAAGCCCCACGCCAGCCACGCAGACCGATGGCTACCCCAAAGGGAACCGCGAGGCATCTGAAAAGCTGTGTCACTGCTAGAAGTCCTAGGAGACCAGGGTGCCCCCAAGAGGAAGGCTACGGTCCGAATGCCCAGCTCAGCGCCTTTCCAGCCACGAGGCCTTGAGAAACTCCTTTCTCATCTAAAGCCTAGGAAAAACCACGAACACCTTGCCTGCTTGTTCTGCAAATCAGAGATCGTGGTCGAACGGGGCCTGGTACAGGGATGGGGTGCAGTAAATGGTAGCTATTATCACTAAGAGCTACAAAACTAAGTGCTTTGGGAGCAAAACTAACCCCATAAAAGAATTACCACTTCCAAACTCTGGTGTTTATTCCCATCAGAGGCTACCCAGGAATATGCAAGGGTGAGTATATGTTTGAATAAAGGTGTTTAATGTTTTTAATTGCTGCCAACATGAATGGTTGTTCTAGGATATAACTGTTTAAAAGTAACTGTGAAAATAACTGTTTGCAAAGCTGCTACAAGTACAGGAGGGAAGGCCGGACTTTAAACATGCCTGGAGGCAGCATCTCACACCGGCCCCCTGCCGCACGACAGGACCGCTAAGTACCGCTTGTGTGCTGGAGATGCCATCTCTGCTCCTCCCGCCCTCCTGCATCTCTGTTCTTCTTGAAAAAAAATACTGTCTCAATGCACTTATAATAATGTTTCCTGTGATTTAAAAAACATCAAAGGTCTTTTCATCTTTCATGCAATCGTTCAGCAAAGAGGTTACCAAGGAAGTGAAAGCGCTCACCTGCTGGGTTTCTCTGTCCAGTTAAAATCACTGAGCTGATGCACTGTGAGCTTCTAATGCACAATGAGCATTTAATTTTTTCTCCACCTCCATCCACTTGCAGAATATGAAGATATTCACTGACTCAATAAATTTATGACTATATATTAGATTAGGTAATTTCTAAGATTCTATCTTCTTTGAGAGACCTCAGTCCTTTGAATACTTATCAGTACCTTTCTAAAATAAATGTCTGTCATAACTCCACATGCAAAAAAAAAAAAATGTAAACTACATTATTTACAACAGCCAAGATATGGCAGCAACCCAATTGCCAATCAATGGACAAGTGGATAAAAACGCTGTGGTACACATTACACAAGGGAATACTCCTTGGTCAAAAGAAAGAATAAAATCTTACCTTTTGCAACAGCGTGGATGGACCTAGAGGGTATTATTCTATGTGAAATAAATCAGATAAAGACAAATACCATATGATTTCACTTATATGTGGAATTTAAAGAACAAAATAAACAAACAAAATAGAAACAGACTCATAGATACAGAAAACAGACTGATGGCTACCAGAGAGGAGGGAGGTTGGGGAGCTGGGTGGAAAAGGTGAAGATATTAAGAAGTACAAATTGGTAGTTACAAAACAGTCATGAGGACGTAAAGTACAGTGCAGGGGATAAGTCAGTAACATTGTAATAACTATGTATGGGGCCAAGTGGATACTTGAAATATCAGGAGCATTACTCTGTAAAGTACACAGTTGTCTAACCACTATGCTGTACACCCGAAACTAATACAGAATAATACTGAATGAAAACTGTAATTAAAAACGAATGTAAATACTGTAATAAAATATGTAAACTGTAAGTACTATCTAGAGCAGCCATTTCTCACTCCTATTTATACTCACAAATTCTCAAATATAAAATGATTAATATGGTAGTTTGGAAAACCGAAGCATCAAATATTCTAGTTTCAGAGGCTGAAGTTCTCCATCGACCACGCCGCTCGAAGCTCTGAGCTGTGAGGCGTGGACAGGACACTGCTGCTGGATCAAGGAAGAGCGTGTGGGGTCACTAAAGCGCCTCCCTCAGTCACAGCCCATCTCCCAGCCCCGCCCTGAGCTAAGGCTGGAGAAATCTGAAGCTTGGCCCCTCTGGATTTAAGACCATAAGAGCCCAAGGTACACAACTGCCTCCCTGAGATTCTGTTTACAGCTAAATTCTTGGCATTTTATTTTGCTCCTCCCCCATCTGTTGGAATGTCTTTAG